TGAATGCATGCTCCTCCTTTGCTGACGTTCAGGCTTAGCCTCTCTCCCCAGCCACACGGTGCACTTGCTCCTTCTTGGTTTGTTAATCCAGCCATAACTCTAATCACAGTCACGCTCCTTATAAAGGCTGCTTGCCCTCCCATGAAAACAGACGTCAGAAATAACAACATTGCTTAGTTAAACAGTATAACTCTTACTCTGTAGGAAAATTTGCTCAATAGTCTTATCCTGTCGATATAAGCTGATGGTCTCATATTTTCCCTTTTGGCTTAAACTGTTTATGTCACTTTAAAATGTCTAACGAAGTTCTACTTTTTGCAGAGAGAGAACTAAGTGCAGACTTTTGTTTTAAAATCAAATTCTTCTGAAGTTAGATTATTTAAAAATAATGTATTCTGTCTCAACAGGGACAAGACAACCCTAAAAGGTGTTGCTTTTCTCAGCTATCTGCAGCTTCCATGAGAAACTTCCTCAGTTGGGAAGCAGTGGTCAAGAACGCACAGTGGGTTTGGGAGAATGTAAGAAGCTCTTTGTTTTATCTTCTCTTCCTATGACCCCTACAGGGAATGGCAGCACCCTCCAATTATTCTTAGGGGGAGTACAGAGAGGTGAGTGGAGATGGGGCCGGAGCGGGGCCAGTGGGACAGGGAGCAGTAACCTAGACAAGAAATGAAATGAGCCTGAGCTAGCCAGTGAGGAAGCGGGGAGGGCGAGGGGCAGACGAGCCTGTGAGATATCGTTCCCTTTAAGTGAGCACTTGTATGCTAGGCTCCGGGGTAAGTGCTCTACGTGCATTACTTTCATTTATTCCTCCTCACAACGGTGCTAAAGTTTTATTTCCTCATTTTACAGCCAAAGAAACTGAAACTAGAAGAGATTAAATAGCTTGCCCAAGGTTGTGCCGCAAAGTGGGATTCAGCCCTGGCGGTCCAACTCTGTGGCCTGTGCTTTCACACACGGTTCCACGTGACCCCTGCTCTGTGCTAGGGTCACTCTTGATGGGACTTAGGTGAGGTGAGGGGGTCAGAGGGTCAAGGTGCTTCTTTTGTATTTCAGGGGAAAACTACGGGTGAGCAGTATTGCTAGTCCTTGAGAGAGGTGTGAAAAGGTAATTTTGGAAGGAGGCAAAATCACGACTCTCATATAAATATAAAATTAACATCGTTTAAAGATTTTAGTTAACTTGTTATTAAAGAGGGAATTGGTAAGATGTTACCACCAGTTCAAAGGAGACTCACATTTGTAGATCAGGAATATTGACGTGAATATGCAAATGGAGGCAAACAGTGGTTTCCACAGTGGAGAACCGGAAGCCAATTAAACCACTATTGGATATAATTTACATGTCTACAGACAAGGATGATTTAGCATTACTATTAGTTGTCTATAATTTAAAGTGTTTTAAAATAGCTCCCATGGAATCAAAATCAGATAACCCTGAAGGGTGTGCTTTAGACAATGATATCTATTTACTTACTAACTTATTTATTTAGTTTTTTTTGACTATGAGAGAAGAAAACAAATATTTATTGAATGCCATTTATTTTTAAACTGTGCAATTCTATATCATTATTTATTGAAATACCCTAAATTTTTTTTTCCCCCTACAGAGGGTGAAGAGGATGCTGTCAGGGAGTGAGTCGGGGGCTGTTGGGGAAGAAAATGAGGTTAATTTTGCACATGTTGCATTTGAGAAGCCCATGGCATATTCTCCGGAAATGTCCAATGGGGAGCTAGGTGTACGGCACAGAGAAAAGAAAGCACGCAATAAAACATGCAGCCTGCTTAGGGAGTTACAGTAACAATAGCGATTAGTTATTGACACTTACAAGGACTTTCGTGAAGCACTTTACGTGGGTCAAATCGTTCAATCCGTATAACACCCTTATGAAGGAGGATGTATTATAATCCTGTGTTACAGAAAGGAAAACTCTAGTTTAGGAAAATTTAGTGACTTGCTCGAGGTCACACAGCTACTAAGTGGCAGAGCTTCTGCACTGGGCGCAGTTCTCTAAGCACCTCCGCAGAGTGGGGCACACTGAAAGATCCAGAGCATTGGAATGTAAAAAGATAGACATCATTACCTAAAACTGGCCCCAAAAGGGGTACTATTTGTATACATTAAAAAGAATTTCTGAAAATGTAAAATTAATCTGGGAGGTGAAATGCCTCAGAAACCCTTCTGATTTAAGGGATGTGCAAGAAGCCAAAGTGTTTATATTTCCTCTTTTCTAGATTTCTGGCACCGAATTAGATTTACCATTTTTTTTAACGAATGGCAAAAAACAATACTGTCTTCCAGTATGGTTTATGGAATAATTTCAAGACTAAGAATGAGAACCCTTTCTTTCTACTGAGTCTGTTTTACTTTTGGCATACAGTAGGTCCAGCATAGTCGTGGTCAGAGAAGAAGGGGAGAGATAAATAGGGAAAAAGATGCACGTGGCGATTCAGAAACAGCAGTGTACAGAAGGGGAAAGGCCTGCAAAATCCCGGACACAGTGGGAAAAATGTGCATCCACAGAGGGTCCACATACCCATAGGCAGAGCGAGAAAGGGAGAGAGACATACAGATATTTTCAAGGAGTAATATCCTTGTCATATGACTTTCATGATATCACTATTAAGACTTCTGAAGTTATTTGAACATTGGAAACCACAGGCTTAAATGGTGGAGTAAAGAGCCCTGGATGTAAGTTCTGGAGACCTGTGTCCTGACTCAGCCACTTGCTCCATTACCTTGGACAATCAATTGACATGTCCTTGTCTGAGTTTTCTTATTTGTTAAATCGTGTAGAACAGCTTTCCTCATGAAGACAGAGCTTCTATAGCAATAGACTCAGCTACCATCGCTAGTATTTGGCAGAGATTCAAAGGCAGACAGGGGAATTTCTTTCTCTAGTGAGAAAAGGGGAAGGATTCAGGTATGCTCTCATTGGAGCTTGTTGGCACTGGGACCGTGGGGGTGGGCTAACCAGAAGCAAGGCATGATAGGTGACTGGTTTGGGGAGTATATTTGACTTCCTTTTGTTAGTCCTGAGCTGGAGATGGGGGCAAAAATTAGAGAAGCTGGCACTCATTGACCAAGTTCTGACTGTTCTAGACTGATGGCCACAGAGGCTATGGGTCAGAGCTGTATTGTTGAAGATAGTCTGGCCTTTGGCCATTTGTATATTCCATCTCTCAGTGCAACATATTCAGTACAATAGATGAGATTAGGCTTAGGTTCCAGCTGTGTCCTCGTGGTATGCCACTGTGGCCTGGGTAGTTTACCTTGCTGGGCACTGAACTTCCCCAGCCAACTTCATGAGGAATGTTAAAATGTCAGCTCTGCTTCAAGGGAGAACAAAGCATTTCCAGAAGTCATCTAGATTGTATTCAGTAGAGCAGTTTTTCATTATGAGTTTCTATGTTAAGAGTTCTGCACCCAATTCCAATGTGTGTGGGGAGTTTTCTCCTACACCGCGAAGCAATTCTCGCACACCAGCTGGGTCCTACAATTTTAACAGGATTCTGACACTATCTACTCGGAGATAGAATCAGAAACCACAGATTAAGAGCTCAGTCCTACAAGACTGCTCCCCCTTCCCCTTACTAATTAGAAGTGCAGGTTTCCACCTGTGCTTCTGAGGACCAGCTATAAATCAGAGGTCCCCACCACCTCCTCCTTAGGCTTGATTAATTTGCTACAGCAGCTCACAGAACTCAGAGAAGCATTTTACTTACTAGATTACTGGTTTATTGCAAAACGATATAACTCAGGAACAGCCACATGAAAGAGATGCTCAGGGCAAAGTATGTAGGAAGGAGTGTGGAGCTTCCATGCTCTCTCCAGGACTGCCACGCTCCTCGAATCTCCACATGTTCACCAACCCAGAAGTTCTCTGAACCCCATCCTTTTGGCTTTTGATGGAAGCTTCATTACATAGGCATGATTGATTAAATCATTGGCTACCTGCAATTGGGTCAACCTGCAGCCCCTCTCCCATCCCTGGAGGTCAGGGGGGTGGGACTGAAATTTCCAACCCTCTAATTACGTGGTTGGTTCTCTTGGTTAAGCAGTCCCCATCCTCAGGTGGGGTGCAAAAGTCACCTCATTCATATGACAAAAGACACCTTCGTGCTCTTATCACTTGGGAGATTTGAAGGGTTTTAGGAGCTCTGTGCCAGAAACAGAGATAAAGACCAAATGTATATTTCTTATTATAAATCACAACATTAAGAAGTGAAATAGGTCAGGAGGAAAGTCAAACATGGAACAATCAAGAGTAGCCGGAAGAGCAGGCCAGAGTGGAGGAGAAGTGCCCTGCATCTCTGCTTAGCTATGGAGCTCACTCTTTCCTGACTCCAGAGCTTTCGAATCCCTCCCCCATCCAAACCTCTCTGTTAGGTGAGGTTTGCCAACCAAGGCCAACAAGGAGGAGAAGTGAAGGCCAAACGTTTTCCAGCTGTGAGTCCCATCCTCCTCAGATGTAACTGGGAGAGAAAAGCAAGGGCTGGGTCCAGTTGGTCAGAAACGGCTTTTGCCATGGTTTTGCTTTTGAGCTTCTTTTTCTTTCTTCCTATTGCCTCTCTGTTAAAGACTTCTCGGCTGTGGCCTTTCTCTAATGAATTCCAATTGGATTTAGTTGACTCTTAAGAGGAGGCAGCTTAAACGTTCACCTCTTAAATCAGGGTTGTAAAGGAGGACCCAAGCAGGAGGTCACCTCCTCTGGCTGCTGGAGGCAGCTCCGAGAGCAGGTGGAGGTGGATGTTTCCTGTGGCGCGGGTCTGATTCGGGTCGCTGTTGTGCCAGCTGGAGCACCCTGTTTTGTGGGAGAGTACATTCTAGGGGGATGAGCACCCTCAGGTAGGTACATTCCTTTAAAAACACTCTGACAAACTCAGTGAAGCCCCCTGTCCTTGAAGGCCTTTCTTAACAGACTCTTCATCCCCTTCTCTCTTTCTCATCTTTTCCCCAACTCTTTGAAAGAGAATCAAAGACCACTTGAAACAATCAGTTTCTAGTTTGTTTTTCTCTTTTTAATCAGCTGATACCATAAGAGCACCATTTTAGTACAGCCATATCTTTTGTGAAGTAGGGGGTTTTAGTTGAGATCCATGAAAGTACTTTATGTGGCAAAGAGTTTGATTGCTCAGAGGGCTATCCAGAGCAGCTCTCTCTTCTAAAATGAACTTGGAACTTTCCCACAGTCTTCAAATGCACAGAAATCTTGGTTGTCTTCCTCTAGCATTAGAAGGAGATGGAGCTGGGAGAGGCTCAGGGGTACCAGCAGTAGGCCTGCGGCCAGCCACGGAAGGGCAGGAGGTAGCCTTCATTACTCAGATGTGGCTCAGAGCTGTGAAGGCAATGGTGCTGTAAGGGAGGAAGCAGAGCACTGAAAATCTACTGTGTGCATCTGATGAGCCATTAAGGTAATCTTTTACTTACAGTAAATCAGGAAAATGGCCACAAGCAAAGCTAGAAAGCTGAAGAGTTTAAGTAAACTTGCAAAGGGAGATGGGGGTTCTTCTACAGTTCGAGTTTTGGTGGCCTTGATTGTTCGATCCCACTGGGTCAAGATGGCATTTCTGGCTCCTTCCCATTTCCCTGGGCCAGTCAAGCGGAACTGGTACGGTGTGCATGGGCCAAAGAAGACGGTCAAAGCTAGGCGTGGATCCGTCAGGAGCATAGAGAACAGGTTGGGTTTTGCGTTCATATAGGTCAGGAGCTCATCTACGTAGGCAATATAACCTGTTTGTAAAACTTTGCGGTAACGTAAGCCAAACCTTTATAAAGGAAGTTTGGGGATAAAGGGGGAGACAAAAAGATAAAATAATGATAACTTTAGAACAAGTAAAAATGCCAAAAGTAAACAACGATGCTGCAAAATTTGGAATGGCTCTGTATTCTTCCCTCTGTGCCCATAGCTGTCTAATGGTCTCATTGAATTATTTAAATACAAGATGGGTTCCCCGAGAAGGTACTCTGTATGTACAGAGCTCCAAATGCTCATAATGCGTTTAGTATTACCTTAGTTCTTCTGTCAAATGATTAGCAATTTCTAGAAAAAAAGATTTTACATAATTTTACTCTTCCTAAATCTTTCTAATACCCAATTATTGGTAGATTTGAATAATGTAAAAAGCCGCAAAAATCAATAGGACAGCATTCCCTGTAAGGCTAGTATTAGTCTCTAGGGTCGTTGATTGACCTATGTGACAGGAAGCTTTCACATTGTATAGCTGAATTAATCATCAGTGTTACCCTACAGCCCCATAATGGAGACCAAATCATGTTGCAGGTTGAGGATGAAGAAGAGACATCTCAAATGTCTGTTTTGGGATTGAGCACTTTGACAAGGATAGAGTTTTGGAAATATATATGTGATTTTAAAACTTTTTTTCCTGCTACAGAAACCCCTTTTTCAAGGGAAAATTTATATCAAAGGCCAAAACAGATAAACAGTAAAACAGATAAAACCAGAGATGTGTTAGTTGGATTAGGAGTGAGAGTGGGCGTCCCCAAGACTCCCTCCTTTGCCGCCCTCTCCCTTCCTTTACCCCTGGCCCTCAAGTGGTAACCAAAAAGCCGAGCACAAGGGAACACCTGTCCTCCAGAGAAGGGGTGGCAAACTTATTCTGCAAAAGGCCAGATGGTAAATACTTTAGGCTCTGAGGGCCGTACTATGGCCTCTGCCTCAACTGTTCACCTCTGCTCTTATAACTCAAAAGCAGCCCTAGACAATACGCAAGTGAACGAGTGGGGCTATGTTCTAAGAAAACTTTATTGATGGCCACCGTGATTTGAGTTTCATACAATTTTCACACATCACAAAATCTTCTTCTTCTTCCTCCTCTTCTCCAACCATTTAAAAACGTTAAAGAGAAAAGCAAGCGGTCAGCAGAGTTGGCGCACAGGCCGTAGTGTGCTGACTCCTGGTAGCAGTCTGAATAAAGACAACAGAACTGAATAGATTTGTGAATGAATGAATGAGCAGACCCTTCTAGTGTCGGAGGATGAACATGGCAGTCTGCCTGCTGCTTATGGATAAGGCACTGAATACCGTGTCTGGTAGATGAGGGTTAATTATATTTTGATTTAGAATCCAAACTCCATGTGGTGTTAGCTAATCCTGGTCTGAAGTGATGATTTGGGGACATTAAAACTTCTCTATGTCCTTTTCCCTCCTCTCTCCTTAAACTACTGATCCTAGTGTTTTTCCTCTAAGTCTCAGGTGCTTCTTTTTTCTCCAGTGTAACTCACCTCTCTTTGCTGTTGTTTTACCAATTTCAGTTATGATTCAAAAAGGGTGTATTTGTAGCTAACTTACCCACTGTGCTTGTTTTCTTTTTTTGCGTTAACTTCCTCTATCATGACACTTGGTGGTGGTAACTTATTCACACCTATGAAACAAACAAACAGAAAATGCAACTTAACTTTAGACCTAGGTGCTTACTTGGTGGGTAAAGATGCTTAACCCACTGCTCCTGTTTTGTTTCTAGTAGCCATATACTCATCTGTTCTTCTGGCAAAAATATTAGCAGTCTACGTGGACTGGCGGTGTGTTCCTGGTAATAATACCGCCAGCTGAAAACAGAAGTATCTGGTTCTCTCACTAGTTATTTGATAAGACAGAATCTCACCACTGGTTTAACTGAATTATATCCCTCAATTGATTGAACTTTTGATTTTTAATTGAACCAATTGATTCAGGCAAAATAACAGGTAGATACAACTTATGTTTTTTGACCCCCTCATTTATCCTTTGTGCTGGTAATGGCACAAACTCGTTATGATAGTGTAATTCAGTGAACAATAAAATGGATCCTGCTTTTAAAGATTCTCTTGTTTTAGATCAGAGCCGGGGGTGGTCTGGAGATTTCCAGTATCCAAAATCCCATGGCAAACTGAAAACATGTGCCCAGCTGTTTCTCATGCACTTACCTTTCAGGACACGAACAGCCCATCGGGCTTGTATTTCTCCCATGGGTATTCTGGAGCCTAAGCTGTCGATGAGGCCAATAATGGCCAGGGTTGATTTTTGCAGATGTGCAGGAAAGATGTACTTGTATAGTGACGCCTGGCCATCTTCAACTTTCACTACCGTCTCATCAAGGAAGGGGAAAGCAAAGGTGTATCCAGTGGCAAAGACAATTATATCAATGGGCTCTTCCTTTGGGGTGTTGTTAAATATGACGGAGTTTTCCTTCACCTCCTTTACGCTTGGCTTGATGATCACTTTCCCAGTGATGATACGGCCTGGGAGCTCATCATTCAGCACAGGCTCTCTCAGCCGAGTCCTAAACAAAATCATAGACAGAGAAGAGAACTGCCAGTGAACAATGCAGCCAGCCCTCCCTCCTTCCGCTCTTCATTCTGGAACTCTCCCCCTGGCTAGGCAGGAGGTGCCAGTCTTGGGAGAAGTTACCTCTGTGCGAGGGGATTCATGAATGTCCAGAAAGGATGATGAAGTGTGCTTATCGTTAACCAGAGTTTGGAAGCCTGAGGAGAAGGAGGTGAGAGCTTTCCTGGCTCCTGTTTCCTTTGCTGAATTTCAGCATTCAGCTGTCACTATCACTGTAGAGATAGCTGGAGAGAAGGACTACAAGGGAAACCAGGGACTTCTACATCAGCTGAGAACGCCTGGAAGCTCTCTCCTCGTAGGAAGCAATTGTATAAGGAAAACATGCATGTGTTTAAAAAGAACAAGGGCAGAATTATCTTTTTCTGGGTATGCCTTGGGAATCACTAAACAAATACTCTGTGAGCTGGTTTTAAATAAGCTGAGCCATTTTTGGCTTATAGTGAATGCAGAGAAAGAGACAGTGTGATAAAATGGAAAGAGCACTGGCATAGGAGGTAGTAAGGGTGGCTTCTTGTCCAAAGTCTAAACTTAACAGAGCTTGGGAAAGTCGTTTGGTCCCTGCAGGCTTGCTTTTATTCATCTGTAAAATAAGGGTACTAATACTTGCCATCCTTAGTTCATTGGGGAGGATGAAGAGCATATGAAATAGTATATATGCAAGAACTTTGGAACTGATAAAGGATTAAATAAATCCAAGAGAGAAGGGATTATCATTCCTCAGGCTCCTTTCACGTTTTCTAGGGTATATGGGATTAAGTCAAATTCTTTATAGTTCCACGAGCTAACATCCAGGCTAGATAAAACTTATGGTAGAGAAAGCTCTAGTGGAAAGGGTCAAAACCTCTGAGAGGCTTGCAGGTAGGAGATGGAAGAGAGTAAGCAAGAAATAAGGAAGGAAAAGATGGAGACAAAAGAGGGAAGGGCGGATCAGGGTGAGAGGAAGGTACACGAGAGAAGGATGAAGAGAGCAAGAGGAAAGAAGTGCCTGTAGCAGGAAGCTGCATGCCGTCAGTGGTGGCTTGGGTGCCACCTGATCCGTGCTGGTCCAGAGTGAAATCTGGAGGAAGATCAGACAGGATCTCCAGGCTGTGCACCCTGATAATGGAATATCATTGTAGAAACAATGAACGAGGAGGCAAAACTATTGATTCTTGTTAACAGGATAAATTGTAGGTTATAACTGAAAGGAAAGACTGAAAACAAAGGTCATCTTGACACGGGCAAGAAGGCACTGCTATTAGAGATGGTGAAGGGCCACAAGGGCAGTCAACTTTTCCCACACAGTGAAACAAGGCAAGCGTGTTGCTTTTGTCGAAAGAATATTAGACAGATCGTTCTCCTTTGATTGCTGCAGCTGAGGCTTAAGTACCTTGCCAAGGTCACAGAGCTCACTATTACTAAATGAGTTTGGGCAAGTGACTGAACTTCGTTAAGCCTCAGTTTACCCACAATAAAAGGGAGATTACAGTAATACTCACTTTAAAGGGTTGTTGACAAGACGAAATACACAATTTCACTTACTGAGAACTCCAAAACAGTTAGTATTATGATCAAGTAAATTGGTATGAAGTTTTCCTTCATACTCAATCATGTTTTTGCGTAATTGCCTGGTTTGGATATGCCACTGGAAGGATTGAGGTGCCTTCTTCCTGATAGCCCTCGGCAGATACACTGTATTTACCTGTCTTTTGGAACCAAGCCATAATTTGTATGATTGAACCATCTGTTCATCCTTTTTGCCATCAACCAATTTACAATTGGAGTTGGGAGACAATTTATGAACATGTTCTCAAATCGAGTCTGCATCACCATGTCGGATGGGTACCCTGCGTCACAGACTCGGCTGACCACCCATGACCCTCCAGTGGTGCTGAGGAACACCTGGAAGCAATCAAAGAGGTCAGTCAGTTTCACACAGTGAACGGGGCTGGCCTGGTCGGACGTTTGAAAAGATCATGAATTGAACGGCACCAAAAAGTCTGACACTCTCAAAATATGTCCCTGACAAGATAGTTTTGGTTCCTCTAACTCCTACTTTAAAGTCATTCTTTTCAGATAATGGATTGAGTATCTAGAGTGTAAAAATGCCTTAGGACTTGTCACAGAGTACTTATCAGCCTCAATGCTAGACACTGTGGTCAATGAGCTGTGGTGGCAAGACATGGGGAGCTTAAAGTCTCATGTAAGAAGACAATAAATAGGCGAATGAACAACTTTGTACGTTAATTGTGGGCAGTAATAACAGGGTATGGCAGCAATTAAAAGTTGTCTAGGAAGGATTTCAAAAGAATCCATTGTTTGAACTGACAGTACAATTTGTTTTGGTGAAATATTTTTTTTTTCCCTGATCGGCTGTTTGAGTTTACCAGCTGACTGAGGTCACTAAGCTAATAATCGTTTTGGTATCTATGCAATAAGGAGTGGTCTATACAACTGTTTAAAATTGAAAGATTTAGTCAACCAATCTGTTACTTTGCATACAAAACGATTGATTTAACAGATAGTTTTTTCTCCAACAAACTGGGGCATGGTGACCACGGCCACAGTGTCAGTGTTTTTGTTAGGCTTTAAAATGGAGCAGTATATTCTACACGGGATATGTGGGGGCAAGAACTAGGAGCATATCAATGATTCTGACATTATTCATGTATTTTTTTAAATGGACGAGTAGGCTATTTATTTATTTATTTAAAGTGTGCTTTTATTTTTGGTGAGGAAGATTGGCCCTGAGCTAACATCTGTTGCCAATTTTCATTTTTGTTTTCTCCCCAAAGCCCCAGTACACAGTTGTATATCCTAGTTGTAGGTCATTCTAGTTCTTCCATGTGGGACGCTGCCACAGCATGGCCTGATGAGTGGTGTGTAGGTCTGTGCCCAGGACCCCAACTGGTGAAACCTGGGCCGCTGAAGTGGAGCGCCTGAACTTAACCACTCGGCTGCGGGGCTGACCCCTGCTCATATTTGCACTGAACCTGCCTCTGTGTCAGGATGTGCAACTGGATAGGATATTTTGGTAGAAATGAACTATGTTCTCCTCAAGAGGAGTTTCTTTGTTGATATAGAAATGACAAGATGGATGCCAAAGTATATTCTCCGACTGAAGAAGTTTCTAAATGATTAGAGAAATAGAAATAATAATATGCTACCCACATATGGTCATCTCGGTAGATGGGACTGTGATCATTTTGTTTCAGGACCTCCTTTCTTTTCCTTCAGGATAGCTCCACCAAACTGCTAAGTCTCTCCAAGTCAATCAGTCAGTCAATCAATCAATCAATTGATCATTGAGTCCTTTTTCTAAAGTCCCAGAAGGGAATATCAAAGGTATACACTCCCAACACTTTTTCTTACTTTTTTTTAAAGATTTTATTTTTCCTTTTTCTCTCCAAAGCCCCCCAGTACATAGTTGTATGTATATTTTAGTTGTGGGTCCTTCTAGTTGTGGTATGTGGGACGCTGCCTCAGCATAGCCTGATGAGTGGTGCCATGTCCGCGCCCAGGATTCCAACCGGCGAAACCCTGGGCCACCAAAGCGGAGCACGTGAACTTAATCACTCGGCCATGGGGCTGGCCCCTCAATCCTTTTTATTAGTAGCTATTTTCATTCTTGCCATTATTGATCTAGGTATTTATACTTATTGACTTGGCATCTATTTTCCCCATGACTCTCTGCTCCCTGATAGTGGGAATCTTGTTTTTGTCGTTCTGTTCTGCAGCGTATCCCCAGTGCCTGGCACAGCATTCCGCGTATCGGAAGCCAACAGTCAATATATGTCTCTTGGCTGAATGGCTCTCAATGAGTTTATAGCATAGTTAGAAAGAAAACGTATACGATAAAAAGTAATTAGCAATACTAAGAATTAAAAAGTGCCAACTGAGGAGTGTAAACAACAATTAATACATAAATTCTTACTAGGGAGGGATCACTTTGTGTTGGGGTGAGATAGCTGGAATGGAAATGTACATTGTAAAGAGAAAAGAGCAGTGCAGAGGGAGGGGTGTGGTGCAGGCCAAGGGAAAGATAGAGGCACGGGAATTGCAAGGGCTGAGAAGACCTGTGGGCTGCAGTTGATGATTCTGTGGGAAAACAGTGGGGGATAACGTTAAAATGGCAGATGTGGACCTGAATATGGAGAACACTATAATGCGGGGCCAATGCATCTGCAGTTTCTTATTTTTTCTAGGTAAGGGGAGTTATTAGAAGCTTTTTAACATGAGAGTGTCATAATGAGAGCAGGCTTTTCGGAGGGTGTGTTTGTTGGTGGTTGGCCATCTGGATGGATTATTGCACGTGGGTGCGTGGACTGGGGGCGCAGGGCAGGGCTGCAGGGTAGAGTTAGGAGCAGGGGCTTTGAAGCAAAGAGGTTGGGTTTGAAGACTGGCTCTACCACCTGCTAGAGGTACAACTTTAGGTGGGTTGCTTAACCTCTCTGAGCCCCAGTTTCTTCATCTGTAGTCAAGAATACTAACAGTACCTACTTCAGTGTCTTGTTTGATGACTGCGTGATGCAGTCAAGCATATAGTGAAGCACTTAGCACAGAGTGAGCCCCAATAAATAGCAACTATTTCTACAATTATTATCATGAGGACAATTCAATGATCTTAGTGCGGGGTAGTACGGATCTGATGATGGCGGTGGCAATTAATAAGGAAAGAAGGGAGCAAATGGGAGATCTTAGCAGGGAAAAACTGCCAGGACTTTCTGACCTATGGGACTGGGTAAGAAACAGACATCTCTTGTAACTCTTGTTGGATGAGTAGGAAAATGACAAAAATAGGAAGAGAAGTGGTTTTGGATGAAAGATGACAGAATTTGCAGTAAAATTTATGAACGTTTAAGAAAAAAGTACTTTAAAAAATCTGCTTCCTGTACATGTGTGTGTTTTAGGCATTTTCAAACCTTTCCTCATTTATCATGGTGTCGTACACTGTTTGCTTGAGGCATGCGTCTGAAGATAAAGCTCTTCACTAAGCAACGTCAAGAATGGTACCTTCTCTGCCACGTGGCTGGCCTCCACAGCAATGTCAGTGCCGGAATTTCCCATTCCAATCACAAGAACCTTCTTGTCCTTAAATATATCTGGATGTTTATACTGTCGGCTATGAAAGTACTGGCCTTTAAAGGTATTTATACCTATAGAAAAAAATAAGTCAAGTAGAGAAATTACAGGATCAGTGAATAAAACATAAGTATTGTTCAGTTAATAACTGAATGATTGACAGACTATTTAGGTTGTTTTTAATAGCATACTTGATTTTAAGAAAATCTGAACTGTGAATACATGACTTTACATGATACAGAAATTAGTGAGTGATTATTTATTTAATGGATGTACTTACTCCATCTCACTACATAGGCCTTTAATTTTATTTACTAGATGATTAACTACTAAGTTGAAATATCATGGCATACTTACTGAGCGAAAGTGTAAGGAGTCATCACCATTTAAAAGTTGATAGCAATCAATGGGACTGTAATAGTCTATTTACTAATATTCGATTTATGTAGAGCTTTTCACAAGCAAGAAGCAAGAGCAGAGAAGTTAAAGGGAATTAGGAGTCAGTGCCTCCACTCAATTCAGCAAACGTTTTTGGACACCTGCCCTGTGCTAGATGATATCGGGGAAATAAAGTAAATAAAATGTGATTCCTATTCCAAAAGATCCATGTATGTGTGGCAAGTTCACTGATAGTTTACATTGGGAACCGATGGTAACTGAGGCTGCAATTGCTGAGTTGGCCAGAGCTGCCTCAGAGAAAGGGGGACTATGTTAGTTCCACTTCGGATTAGATCTGCTGTTCTAACCAGACAGGATATCGCAGGCAGTTGATGCCAAAGCTCGTTGAAACATCAAACGAGAATGGAGTGTTTTGGAGAATACTCTCAAGGTTTCACAACACAAGCAAAAGTAATATGGACTACACAAAGAACCTGTTGTTTTCCAGAAAAAGTGATGAGCTATCTAGATTCTCAGGGGTTAAACATGGACGCCTGTGACAAGTAGCCTTATCAACACCTGGTAACTCTTCAGTTCATCTTGAATCATTTGAACTATGACATGAATCCCACTTAAAACCCAACCACAATCCAGAGCTTTTAGAATTTAACAACGATAACTAAGTTCAAATATTAACTCAGCACACGGACAATATAGATCAGATAAGGGCAGAGAAGTGAGAACTAGACGAGCTTAATGAGAATCATGGAATTATCCCTGGATGTTAGATTATTGTAGATTCTCTCTGGGTTGGGCTCTTTTGGATCATAAATGGGCAAAAAGGAGACTCTGTGGCTGGGTCTCCTATCAGACTAATAATTTCTCCTCTTATACTACAGGAGTACAGAGAAAGAAAGTTTATTAGGTGAATGTGGTTGTGTTAGGAAACACACCAGAGTGTATACATCTGAAAGAATAAAAATAGTCATCTTGGGAATTTATGCATTTATTCTGTGATACCTATTATTTTTACTAAGACCGTTTGGAACATTTTCTTTGGAATTACCTCCGGAGCTCATGACATGCTTTTGAATGTCTTGAAAGAATTTGAATTTTTCTAATAGTTAACAACTACCCCAGGGAGTGTGTACAGATTAGGCAAGTCTGCTGTGAGGCAGAGAGGGAGATGGTGAGATTTGGAGGATTCCATTTTAAGTCTAAAGACACAAAATTTTAGAGCTCAAAGGCTCCTTAGCAATCATGTAGCCGGGGATTTCAAATGGCCAATTGGTGGTGGCTGGTAAGACGAATATTGAGAAGGACTACACATTCTGCAGAGCTCTGCTCGCTTGATTTGTGATTTGTGCTGTATGCTGTTGCATAAGTGGGTGGTCCAAGCCCCTCAATTTGTGGACAAAAAAATAGAGGCTTAGAAAGGTTAAGTGGAAGGCCCAAGATTATACAGCTTGTTAATTGTGTATCCTAGACTCTATACCTCCTGGATCCCCAGCTCATCCTGTTCAAACTGAATACCTTGGCTCAGTCGCTTTCAAGGTATGCTTTATCTTAATCTGACTTGACCTGAGTGACCCCTAGGGGGCAGATCCAGAATCCCTGGAGGACGTGAGTGTTGTAGAATGAGTTGATAATACCCCGGGTCATATATAGATTGTGATTCCTCCACTGGACTCCTATGAAACACTATTTATTCCTTCTATAAAGGCTACGTATCTTATCTACCTCTATATTCTTAGCACCTTATGCAATAGACTGTAGGTGCCGAATAAATGCAGTGTACTCCCTATTCCATGGAACTTTCTGGATTCTTGGAGAGATCCTGTGCCAGGCACTCTTTCCTGGGAGTTTGGAGTAGCTTGTTGCTCAGGGATTTTCTCTGCAGGCAAGAACTGACAAAGGATTGGGTTGTCCTGTGGGGTGGTGAGAGTTCATTGTTGAATGTGTTCAAGCAGAGGCTGTTGAGTCTCTCAGGGATGCTGGAGAAGAGTTTTCTGCATTGGGAAGAAGACTGAACTTGGTGCTTTCCAATTCAAGAACTCTCTTCTATGGCAGTTTTCAGGATATGCTTTATCCTAACTTGACCTGACTTGACTAACCTCTGGGCACAGACCAAGGGCCATTGGAAGTACGTGAGTTTATTATAAGATGAGGCCTGAGATCACTCCAGGTCATATTTAGATGATTCAGAAAAAAGTTTCCTAAAGTTTTAACTTTTTGAATCCTTACGGCAGATGAAATAAAGCAAACCATTGTATTTTCTATTCCTTCTGAGTTGTAATCCAATAGAAATTTGGCATAGATTAACATGGATCATGGCTGCAAAAGCCAGATAAAGAAACTGAGACCCAAAGATGTCTTAACTTGCCTCCCAGGACTCATCTCCCTCCCAGAGGTTTATGGACTCAATGCCGTAAACCTCTGATCCAACTAAACTTCTATAAAACAAACAAACAAAAACCAGATGAGTTTTTCCTTTATTCGCCAAGTGACCTTTGTGGGCCTCTAAACTCAGCTCTAGCTATGTGCTCTGCTGAGGTTAGCAACTTGCATAAGCATCCCGCATCTTAGAAGACGTGCAACTGCTGCCAGGCACTTAGGGAGGGACACTGAAAGCTGGAGAAGTATAAAACTGCTTATTTGTTATTCATTCTACTCTTCCGTACTCATAGGTTGTTTGGAACACATGAAAGCCAAAAAATGGCCAGGAAATGCTGGTTAGAAAAAAATCCCTTATACCTCATCACTTTAACTATTTAACGGAGGAATCATAGGAATTCATTCCCAGACCAGTCCAGTATCACGACGGTTCCCATGAGACAAATTAAGGTCAGCTGCAGAAAATGCCTTACCTGGGAAGGAGTCTAGTGGCAAAAATGGGTTAGTGAGAAAACCAATGCAGACCATCACACCATCAAAGATGGCGGACTCCCGCTTTCCTTCACGCAGAGTGACTACCTCCCATTGGCCAGTGACGGCAAAATCTGGGCGTTTTGTTACACTGCAGACTTTAGTCTGAAAAAAGAATCATAGACATGATTAATAGTTGTCAAGTTTCCAGTAAGGGCTTGCTGACTGATGTGCTAATTGACATTTCAAGTGTTCTAGAGCCCAGACTAAACATAATTGATAAACGTAACCCTATATATCTAACTGGGCTATCAGATTAATCATAATTTCCTTGATGGAAGTATTCTAAGCTTAGAGTTGTAGATGGGTATTTAAGAGAGGTGGGGAGGTCTGAAGATTTGAGGTGATTTGCTCAAATTCTCATAGTAAGTGGTAGAGTCAAGATGATAACCTCAGTCTTCTGTTGTATTCATTATTCTTTCTATTACGTATATTTCCCATAGAGCTGTCTCTTTTACAACAGTTCCTTTGGTAGAGACATGGATAATGTATAATTGAAAATATAAATTTGGTCCCAAGTATCTTAGCTTATGAAAAGTCTTATAGAAAACGTTGCTGAAGTTTTTCCCAGATCTAGACAACTCTTGAAAAGTGCTAACTTCATGGCCTGAATTTTTTGGGAGTAGTCCAAATTTCCAATAGTCTAATTTTTGTCCCCATTGAGTACATATATGTCCATGGGTACTAGGTTCTGATTCAGAAAATATATAAAATAAATTTACAAGTCAAATTTGAAAGCATAAATGCTCCACTGACCAAGAGACTTTGTTGCCTTTTCTTCTTTTTCAGTTTTCAAAGAAGACAGGCTTCTCACGTCCTTCCTGACAGGTTTACTGTTTGGTTTATAACATTTGAAGTGCTTGTTGGATTTCTACATTTGTATTAGCAACTCTGTCAATGTAAATTTTCAGTTAATTAAAAATCTTTCAAAATAAAGTTTATTTTATATTAAAAATAATGAAAGTTCATTATTGCAAATTTGGAATGCATAGGGAAGAAAGAAGAACAAAACCTCTCACAGATAGCTGCTTGTGTGTACTTTTTGTTTTAAAAAAAATTTTTTTTTGGCAAGGAAGATTGGCCCTGAGCTAACATCTGTTGCCGATCTTCCTCTTTTTACCTGAGGAAGATTGTTCCTGAGCTAACACCTGTGCCAGTCTTCCTCCGTTTTGTATGTGGGACGCCACATGCAGCGTGAGGAGGGATGTGTAGGTCCGCAACCGGGATCCAAACCAGCAAACTGTGGGCTGCCAAAGTGAAGCGCATGAGCCTAACCACTATGCAACCGGGCTGGCCCTATGTGTACTTTCTTAAAACTTTTGTGAACATCTAGCTTTTTTGCTTTTCTTTTTCAGTTATTTTAAAGCAAGCTGAGGCAGCATGTAGTAAAGAAAATGCTTCAGATTCAGGAACTCTGATACATTAAAAAATACTTATGGGTATTATATCCATTCACTATGGTAGTGTTTTAGTTTTACTGTGTCCCTTGTAAAATAAGGAAGTGGGATAAAATACTCTTTCGGAAACTGGAGTACTTTAATTTTTCTCCAGTTTTTTTGAGATATAATTGACATCTAACGTTGTACAAGTTTAAGTTGTACAACAATGATTTGAGATATGTTTATATGGCAAAACAATTGTTAGAGTAAGTTTAGCTAACATCCATCACTTCACATAGTCAGAATTTTTTTCTTGAGATGAGAACTTTTAAGATCTACTCTCTTAGCGGTTTTCAAATATACGATACAGTATTGCCAACTATAGTCACCATGCTGTACATCACATCCCAAGAACTTACTCATCTTAAAACAGGAAGGTTGTACCTTTTGACCACCTTCATCCATTCCGCCCCCCCCCCCCACCTCTGGCAATCTCCAATTGTTTCTCTGTTATATGAGTTTGATTTTTTTAGATTTCACATGTAAGTGAGATCATGCAGTATTTTTCGTTCTCTGTCTGACTTATTTCACTTAGCATAATGTCCTCAGGATCCATCCATGTTGTTGCAAATGGCAGGATTTCCTTCATTTTTAATGGCTGAATAATATTCCGTTATCTATCCATATAGAACACATTTTCTTTATCAGTTCCTCCATCAATGGACTGTTAGGTTGTTTCCGTGTCTTGGCTATTGTAAATAATGCTGCAATGAACACGGAGGTGCAGATATCTCTTCGAGATAGTAATTTTGTTTTGATCAGGAGTACTTTTCAGGTTGTGAATTTGAATCTTGTTTGCTACTTGTTTTAGTCAAGCTTTCCATTCACATTGCTTTCTCTGTGTAATTCCCTATGAATCCCTTACCACCCCCATATCTGGCAGGGAGGTAGATGGGAGAAGGGAGACCCATGGATTTCCATGTGTTTCTTCGAGAAGAAGGGAGAACAGGAAAAAAGAAAGGATCTATTCATTTGCCCATGTCCTTCTACCTTCCTTTCATCTCTGTCCTCTGAAATGGGGAGGGAGGTGGGTAGGTTCTACCAGAGGAACAATATTCCAAGAGTTTTCTATTCCCAAGGATACCTAGAAAAGATTTCCTTCAGGTGGTGAGGTTGTCTTGTGTGTGGGCCATTGCACAGGTCCATTCCTATAAAGGGCTGCTCAGGAAGCAAGTACTCAGGGGCTGGTAGGAGTTATCAGTGTCGCCACGAGCAGGCATTTCGCCCAAGCTGAAAATGTGGTTTGCTATTTTTAAGTCTCTTTGGACACTTGGATTTAAGGATGGCAAACTAAAAATTTACACATGTGAATCCTTACTCAAAGTATCCACCTCCACCTCCAGAGGATGTAAGCACAAGGGGAAACGGAAACCAGCCAGACGTCATCGGTTGTCCTGCCCGTTCCTTATCTCATCTAAAGACTCCAGGGCTTGGCTATAGAGAGATTATAGAAAATAGGTGGGAAATACTTCTTGACTGCTATCTGACGTTCCGGGTCTTACCTTGAATTGAATGCATTTCAGAAGGTTGAACCGGTTTGCATACATCTTGAGATATTCCAGAAATCGAGAATTTGGCACATAACTTGGACAGTCTTCTGGGAATGGAAAGTCTGAGTAACAAGACATCTCCTTGGAGCTGTTGGAAATCACAGACTTGTAGAGGCTGGCTCTGCCTTCTTCAACATGTTCCTGTACAAACAGTGCAGGCACAAGAGCATGTGTGTGTTTGCGCATGTGCATACACACGTATGAAATAGATGTTACATTTAGACATTTCCAACACTGACCAAGATTAAGGTGACCCTTTCTAATGAGACTTGTTATAGAAATGGTGAGCACTGGATACTATGAATTTCGTGATCAGAATCATAATTTTATTCATTATGTTCTAACAAATAAACCTGGGATGAACTCACCTGTTCAGATTCACACAGTATCACTGGAAAGTACAGGAGAAGTGGAAATAGCCCAGAGCCAGAAAGCAGCATCTGGGTGATGGACAATTGCTGGATACTTTGGTTTCACAGGGTGTCGTTGAAAGGATTATGGGGAAGGGGTTTCGGATCGTGAAGGATTTTGTATCTATAGTCAAGGAATCTGGATTTTATGGGAAGGTTATGGCAGTATTCTGAATGTTTTAACATGGAAGTGATTCATGTTAAATTTTGGAAAGATAATGTTGGTTTTACAAAAGATGAATTAGAGGCATCTGGAAAGGAGGGAAGGAGGCTCCTTCAGAGTGTGAAACACAAATGCACTTGATTGCTAATGAGGGCCTGCGGGAGGCAATGGCAGCGGAAACGGAGAGAGGTGGGATCCGTGAGGCAGCAGTAAGGTAGGACAGATAGGATTGTGAAACCATTTGGATCTAGGAGTTGGGAGAGGGAGGTCAAAGGTTTCTAGGTTGGACAACTGCGTGCATGGTGCAACACTAACCAATTTTTCACCCCCAGTTTTGACTTGAATGACTAGCAAGTATCAACATCTCAAACAACTACTACAGGTTGACTAATAAGCAGTTTTAGTAAGGTCTTTAACATACATTTCCTCTGTCTTTTGGATGTATTATGGAAGATTGTTCTGATTTTAATGGGAAGGTCCTTGGTATTTTTTTCTTTTTTGAGGAAGATCAGCCCTGAGCTAACAACTGCTGCCAATCTTCCTCTTTTTGCTGAGGAAGACTGGCCCTGAGCTAACATGTGTGGCCATCTTCCTCTACTTTATATTTGGAACGCCTACCACAGCATGGCTTGCCAAGCAGTGCCATGTCCACACCTGGGATCCGAACCGGTGAACCCCAGGCCGCTGAGAAGCGGAATGTGCGAACTTAACCACTGCGCCAAAGGGCTGGCCCCAGGTCCTTAGTATTTTAGTACTATTTACCCTCTTGAATATGTATAGTTCATTTTTTTCCCTGTGAAAAAAAATTATTTTATTTGTATGAAAAAGTGGAAACATGAACACAAACCTCACATGTGGAGAGGGCTTACTTTATTCCCTCAAAGGATAGGAATCTATATCTGCATGAAATATCTAGTGATCACAGAGAATACAATTATAAACATAGCTTTGTGGTTTGAATTAATGTCACTGATCTCGTCAACTGATGAGTTCACTATATCTTGCTGATATGTGGCCCCACGACTGACAGTCTCATTTATCCAGAACAAATCATGCAAACTGGAGTCTAAAAGGCATCTGAGAAAGAGGACTATTGAAATCCTGGTCTTTCATTCTGCAGAAAGATCTAAAGCAGTGCTGTTCCCAGAGGCTGTCGGCAGGGCAGTACCAACGTGAACTGTCTGTTACTAGTCCATGACAAGATAAGTCAGAAATTGAGAGCAAATGTCTAGGAACTTTTATAGCCATAATTTGACATTGCTCAATATCCAAGCATGTGGACTCCTTTTATGCTGAATGAGGCAGAGGTCAGCGTCAATTTTGTCCAACTCGTGACGAGTTGCATGAGATCTGAGCTGTGTACTAGTCACGTGAGTAGGATTATATCACAATGTGTTTGCAAATGTTATCCAAAAGTGCATAAAAACTGGCTGCTGATAAAGGATTGAAGATAAGTTTTAAAATCATAGCACTACTTGCTTCATCTTGGATAGCAGTTAAAAGAATGAATATCCTGAGCTTGCTGAGACTGCTTTGAAAATCCCTTCTTCCATTCCAGTGCACATACTTCTGTGAGCCTCCTTTCTCCACCATGTGTGCTATTATTAAGCAAAACTTAGAAACAGTTTATGTACACATTACCCCTTGCAAAGAGCATTGCCATCCATCTAACCCAGATCAGATCAACTGACAATCAAGAAACAAGCTGAATTATCACATTAAAAACCTTAAATTTTAATATGTATAATGCATATTAAAAGTGCGCCTACACTTTTAAAACTGCTATTACACACATAATATTTTGTTTGGCAAAAAGTTACAAGTGTAATACTGATTCTCTATATTGGTTGCCTATGTACATGCTCTCAAAGAACAGTGTGTCCACTTTTTTGGAATTGTTTTCTTTTATTTCTGTGTTTGTTTAATGACATTTATTAAAATTTATTTTTATGTTCTTTGACTCTATACAAATTTTGAAGTTATATTTTGACATTTTTCTTTGTTTCATTTTCATTTTTCTGAGAGTACATTTTTATTATATTTTACAAATACAATTGTTGATACTTGATTAGAAATCAAAAAAAAAAATCTGATTCTTCTCCACAGTTTGAGAAGCACAGCTCCCTAGATCAGTGTTTCTCAATTTTGCTAAGAATCTCCTGGGGAATCTTACTAATATGTAGCTGCTGATTCAGCAGGTCTGGGTGAGCCTGAGCTTCTGTATTTCTAACAGGCTCCCGTGCAGATCGTGCTGGGCCATGGACTGTGCTCTGAGTAACACGGCTTCAGTGCAATCCCCCCAGCAGGAATGGGATGGAGGTCACATGTGCATTTAAAATTTTCCAGTAGCCACATTACAAAAAAGTAAAAATAAGCAAGTGAGATTAATTTTAATATATTTTATTTAACTCAATATATCCCAAATTTTATAATTTCAACATATAATTAATATAAAAAATATTAATGAAGCGTTTTACCTTCTTTTTTCTCATACTGTCTTCCAAATCCAGTGTGCATTTTACACATCTCAATTCAAATGTTCAATTTTCATTGGATATAGTGGATTCACGTACTCAGATTCTTAACACTGTACTTAAAAGTTCTTCAGTAACTGAATTGAGTATCGGTTTTAAAATGAAAATAAATTTAAATTAAATGAAATAAAAAATTTAGTTCCTTGGTTGTATCAACTCCATTTCATGGTCTCTGAGACTGGTGGCTACCTAATTGGACAGTAGAGTTTTAGAACATCCTTAAACTTGAAGCTGGTATTACAACTTAATTTAGTGTTGGATTGATTTAATTAAAAGTGATCAAAGTCTCCCCTGGGTTTTAGAAAAGAAGAGAATAGGAGCAGTTGTAAAGAGCTGTAATATTGAGAAGTGAGAGCAAACAGCAAGGGAAGAAATTATTGTTTAAGGAGAAAATATCAGTTACAAACATTTTGGAGCCAATTAGACCCAAGCTCCCCCACTTTTCTCTGGCATCGGAGAGCATCCCATAGTCAATAACACTTTGCTAATACTGTCAATTTCTAGTAAACCACAATAAAAAGTTAAATTTGGAATATGTACTGTTTAAGACAGATAGAGGTGTGCATAATACATGTAAAGATTTCCATAAAAATAGTTCAAAAAATTTTATTTTATTTATTTATTTCTGAGGAAGGTTAGCCCTGAGCTGACATCTGCTGCCAATCCTCCTCTTTTTGCTGAGGAAGACTGGCCCTGAGCCAACACACGTGCCCATCTTCCTCTACTTTATATGTGGGACGCCTGCCACAGCGTGGCTTGCCAAGTGGTGCCATGTCTGCACCCAGGATCTGAACTGGCGAACCCCAGGCCACAGAGAAGTGGAACGTGCGCACTTAACCACTGTGCCACCGGGCTGGCCCCCCCAAAATTTTAAAGCATTTTGTAATGACACTTAAATATGACATTTAAATACCAGAAAGTAATGGGGATTGACTGGAATTGGATAAACCAGGGAATCATATTTTATGGGACCTTAAAACAAATGGACAAACAAAAATAGAAAAAAACCCAAACCAACTACTCTGTTTTGCCAAACTTTGGAAGATAATTGTAAGGGCAGGAAGAAGAAAACCTTCCAGGAAACGCCGAATGTTTCACAGGTGTTAGCCGAGGGGAAACTGTAGTTTAGAGTGGAAACTTCCCCCTGAGGGTGGAATCTCAGGCCACCTCTTTGCTCTCCTTTCTCTTTCCTCCCACCAATTGTTTCTCCTGGAAAACCCCCAGGTCTGGAGTGTTTAGCGTGCACACAGAGAAGACGGGTCTCGAGTTTGCCTCAGTGAACAAGCAACCTGGCCCAGCGATTCCCAGACCCCCGGCTGCAGGCACTCTTAGCATTGTCTCTGTGTGGGTCTGCCAGTGGCCCCGGCACCCCGAGTGTGGAAGGACACGCCTCCTGAGAATTGATGGGCCCACTTAGGAGAAACGTTTTTGTCTTGAAGGGAAAAATGACTGGAGGGGAGGAGGGCTGGCCTGTGGAGAGAGGGAAAAGAATGAGAGCAGGAATGGAGGGGTTTAGGGCTCGCTGGTCCACTTTGGTCCGGCAATGCAGTGGGCAAGTCACCACTCTCTGCAAAGACTTGGTGGGATTCCATGAACAGTCCAGGGTTTGCCTGGCCTCATTCTTGAGCTGTGAAACAGACTTTGAAAATGCATGGAGTGTAGTTCTTGACAGCATAGACCCTGGAGTCAGGCCTGGCTTCATAGTCAAGCTCTACATTTTTAGCTGGGTGACCTTGGGAATTTTCTTAACCTCTCGGTGTCTCAGTTTCCTCGGCTATAAATAAGAATGATAATAGTTCATATCCCTTAGGATAAACTGAAATGATAGTTATAACACATTTTGAACGGTGTCTGGTAAGCTCTTAAGAAATGGTATTTGTATTATTCTTCTACAATTACCATGGGGATTTACTTTCTCAAACTTTGTGTCCTTCAGAGAGGATTATAGGCAGTGGGAAGAGAGCTTTGTCAGGTCAGAGGTTTCTCTTTACCCATTTTAAAAATAGAAGTAAAATGATAAAAATTCACTCCTGAACAGAGACATCCTCTTGATGCATGGCATTCACGCCTCTTGTTCTCCAGGAACAAATATTTCCTTCTTTTTTCCCTCTCCTTTGAGCAGCAAGAACCCGTTTCACTTTGTCACCTCCTCTCCTCAATGAGAGGCAGGCTCTCACTGGTGGACACGGTCCACTTCTTGGACCTACAAACTCAGAGGAGATTTGAGAAAGCCCCCAAAGGGTAGGGGCCTGTCAGGTGGACCCCCTCAAAAATAATAGGAATTCAATAAATGTTTGTTGAATATATGAATAAAAGGAAACCTACCAAGATCACTGAATTTTTGAAATAAGGATTTTAAAGAAAAATTGTAAGAATCAAGCCTAGAGAAGAAACAGCTGAGGAGCAATTCCTCAGTGATTTAAGGGGTGAAGTATTACACTTCATCATTGCCCTCACTGAGTCTAAAAAGTATGTGGTCCATAAGGCACACAGTAGGTGCTCAATAAATGTTTGTTGCATAAATGAAAGGATGCATGTGCAGAGAAGAAGACCCTGATGCCCATAAGGAGGGAGACCATCCCAGGCAGGGTTATTAAGCCCGAGAATATGTTTCAGGGATGCAAAGGATGGAGCTGGATTTGTTTCTACCAGGGTAGTATCTTTACCTCTAGATGAGGTCAGTGTGGCTCTCCATGAAGGCGATTTGTCATCGTCCCTTCCTGTACTGAGTTTCTCTAAGAGTTCTAGTGAGTGACAGGAAGTTCCTCACATTTTATTTCTTCAATATTCAATCGAGGTGATCAACCTACAGTGTTACTGACACGGCTACCCAAACTTTTGTGGGGGGGTGTGTGTGTGTGTAAGGGTAAGAGGGGGACAAGGATGTCTCTAGGAAGACCCAGGAGGCTCCTAGCCTGCTAGAGCTGGAAGGCCCCTTCAAGGTCCCCTAGTTTGGGGATTTTCAATCAGGCTTTGGAGGAATCCCAAGGGAGTACAAGAGACTGCTGCTGAATGGAGGCAGGGCTGGCTTTTCCTGCTTCCTGGCCTGGAGTAATTCAGCTTTTACCCATTTCCCAAACTGGTTCCCTGTTCTCATTTTATAATGGGAGGCAGTGGGGCTGGGATGACTTGTTAATTGGGCACCAATTCACTCGGCTACTGCTGGGTCACCCTCTTTCTCCTCCTTTTGATGCCCTATCGCGGGCCTCACGGTATCTTTTCATGGCCTTGTCTATTTTCCTTCATTCTCCACCCCCGTGCACCACGCCCACTCCTTCCTCACCCTCCACAGACGCCATATTTTCCGGAAAGAATTGAGGCCTCTGATGTGCATGCTCCTGCATCTTCTTCCCCTCCACCTCAAAATTCCTCTCCTGTGTTCACTTTTCCTTCCCCTCCAGTCTCTGAGGGAGCTGTCTCTCTCTGCCTTTCCAAGGTGAATGCTTCCGCCTGGGCCTACAATTCCACGACTTCCTTTTTCTGCCAGGATCTTGTTCCAATTTGGGCTTACATATTCAATCGTTTCCTACCCTCCAGATATTTTCTCTTTACTTATAAACATATTTGGGTCTTCCCATCATGCAAACAAAACAAACATAACAACAACAACAATGACATCTTCTGAATTCTGCTCCTCATTATCCATTGCTTTCTAAATTGAGTACAAATCCCCTGGCCAAACCTTCAGCCACCGCCCTCCCCTCCCATTATTTCTCTTCCAAGGACCACATACAGCAATAAGCTACTTTTATTTTCCAAGCCTGCCCAGTACTTCTTCTGTACTGATTCCCTCTCTAGTGTCTCCCCCTCAATCTCTTCTGCCTGTTGAAATCCTTCAAAATTCACCATGTGCCATCTCTTCCATGAAACCCTCCTTGGCTTCCCTCAAGTGGATGCAATTCTGACCTCATTTCCACTCCACAGCACTGCTTCTGACTTGCAAGGTCCTGCACTTTTCCCCTCGGCCTCACAGCTCCCTGAGGACACGGTGAATCCTGTTCACTTTTGTGTCCCCCCACAGTGCTTTGTGTGTAGGTGTCTGACCTGCCCAAGTCACACAGCCAGTTAGGCACAGCTGGATCTAGAACTTATTTCTGTTGATTCTTAGATCAATGACTTTTTTGTGTTAATAACTAGATGTCCATGACCTATATAAGGTGCATTTTTGTTTAGTATGCCAAGGTCTCTGGACTCACTTTTTTTGCTTTGACTGAGATTACTTTAACCAAATAACTCTGCTAATTACCTCTCTACCTGAGCAGTTTCATCTTGTGAGCTAACTCCCAACTCTGATGGATTAATAGTACTTGTCTAGAGTATTGTGTTAAGAAGGATTCTGAGGTTCCTCAGGGGAAGGATATCATGTTTGACTGGCAATGGCTTCAGTGGGCATGGGTATCAGGTTTCTGCTGTCCTAGTGAAACTACGCAGTTTGAGTTGTGGGAACAGATGTGCTCTTTTCCCTAGTCCCCTTGGGGAGGTCTCTATGCCTCGATGGTCACATTTGGTGGTTGGACACATTTTCAAGATGTGCAGTTCTTAGAGATTTCTCCAAAAAAGGATATACGGATGGCCAACAGGCATATGAAAAGATGCTCAACATCATCAGCTATCAGGGAAATGCAAATCAAAACTACAATGAGATATCACCTCACTCCAGTCAGAATGGCTATAATTAACAAGACAGGAAACAACAAGTGTTGGAGAGGATGTGGAGAGAAGGAAACTCTCATACACTGCTGGTGGGAGTGCAAACTGGTGCAGCCACTATGGAAAGCAGTATGGAGTATCCTCAGAAAATTAAGAATAGATCTACCATATGATCCAGCTATCCTACTGCTGGGTATTTATCCAAAGAACTTGAAAATGCAAAGGCATAAAGATACCTGCACCCCTATGTTCATTGCGGCATTATACACAATGGCCAAGACTTGGAAGCAACCTAGGTGCCCATCAAGGGACGAATGGATAAAGAAGATGTGGTATTTATACACAATGGAGTACTACTCAGCTCTAAGAAATGATGAAATCCGGCCATTTGCGACAACATGGATGAACCTTGAGGGTATTATGCTGAGTGAAATAAGTTAGAGGGAGAAAGTCAAATACTGTATGATCTCACTCATAAGTGGAAGATAAAAACAGTGACAATAGGGGCTGGCCCCGTGGCTGAGTGGTTAAGTTCGCGCGCTCCGCTGCAGGCGGCCCAGTGTTTCGTTGGTTCGAATCCTGGGCGCGGACATGGCGCTGCTCGTCAAACCACGCTGAAGTGGCGTCCCACGTGCCACAACTAGAAGGACCCACAACGAAGAATATACAACTATGTACCGGGGGGCTTTGGGGAGAAAAAGGAAAAAATAAAATCTTAAAAAAAAAAAAAAACAGCGACAAACACATAGCAATGGAGAATGGATTGGTGGTGACCATTCAAGGAGGGAGGGCAAAAGGGGTGATTAGGCTCACATGTGAGGGGATGGACTATAATTAGTTTTTGGGTGGTGAACATGATGTAATCTATACAGAATTCTGACTATATTATGACGTACACCAGAAAGCTATATAACGTTTAAATTAAAAAAACAAAACAAAGATGCGCAGTTCTTTATGTGAGCCAAGCTGGCCTACGCTGGGAGGACTGTGACTGAAGTAGGAACCGTGGCCTCTCTGGAACTTTGCTCACTGAGTTAGAAAATAATTAACTTTATTCTAGTTCCAAGTCCTACCCTTCTGGTGGGGGAATGCTTTCCCTCAGCCCCGTAGGGGCTCTGAGACCAGAATATCTGACACCTTGCCTCTTTTCACTATTCCTAGCAGCTGTTTCCTTAGCACGTTGAAGCTCATGAGAAATGTTCTCACTCTCCCAAGGAGGGAAAATAGGAGTTTTGGGGAGATCCGATGCCAACGCTTCCCCGGCTGAGCCACGGAGCTCCCTGAATGCTTTTCCTGCCTTGCTTCCCAGTTCAACAGCCTCAGGCAGGGCCCCTCTGATCCCCCTGGGTCCCCAGCCAGCCAAAGGTGGGCTGTGTACTTGCCTTTCCTCATTCCTCACCTCTCTCCACCCTCTAATCCAGGATGGAGCCCTGCTGAAATTTGAGAATATTACTTCTCTTTTGCTCAGGGAAAAAAGGACTGCAAAGCCCCACTATCTACTTCTGATTGCTCTTAGCATGGATTGGGCCTGTTGGGATGGCAGGACCTCGAGTATAGGACTCCTCCTATGCTGAGGTCTGTGTCCTTTTACTTCAGGTGGAGCAGGTCTGGACAAAGGTGCAGTACAAGCTGCTCAGTCTTGCAGGCAGAGGCTGAAATTCCTGTGCTGCATTTACACCTTTGCCCTGAACACTGCGTCTCTGGCCTTGCTTCAGATCCCCAGTTCTGTGCCTGCTCCCCCTGTCCTGGGCTTTACTGGCCTGTCCCAGCCACTCCATCCTGTTCCACCCTTGGTGTGCATTTTTCTTCCTCTTGGCTCTGGATAAAGCTTGTAAGGCGCCTGACACACCTCCTGCCCAAGCCCAGGCTGTGCCCTGCTTCTTTCTTTTATCAACTTCGATGACCCTTTTCGGCCTCCTGTTTAACAGATGTATCTAGCCCCTCCCCAGGGCAGCCAGCCCCTGTGGAAGAAATTTAATCTCTTTTTGCACTGGTCAAGCCTTTTCCCAACAGACACATGACAAAGCTATTGAAACTTCACTTACAGTGAACCTCCACAGCCCCCCAAGGTCGTCGCTTCTCTCGAAGCAGGTGGGCTCCAGTCCTTCCTCCAGACAGCACTTGATGGAGGCCAGGCCACAGACCCCAGCCCCGACAATTGCAACTCGCTTGGCCATGTTGTCCTGTGTGGAGAAAACGAAGCAGAGCATTTTATTCACAGGTGAAAGCCCCACCCCATCCTTGGCTGCTTTCGAAACCAGGGAAAAGTGAAGTAGCCATTGAGGATTGAATAGCTAGGAACTAAAGTTTTTTTCCTTTTTGCAATTACTGATTATAGCTTTTAGCTATTAACCCGCCCATCGTTAACTGTGCTGCTGAGGCAATGTGCTGTCTGACTCCCACTAGGCTCCTATGGATAACATCTGCCTGGGGCCTGGGTCACCATGGTAATGGGCGTGTGAGCTGTTCTTCAGGAATTAGAACTCCTTGTCCACTTCAGGCCGGTTGAGACCACCAACCCATCAACTGGACCCATGCAGATGTCTGATAGGCGACCTTCTGATGTCAAGAGGCTAAAAACTCCACCCTCAGATCATGCTAATGCCGCCGTTTTGTGAACATGGGTCCTGTGAAGAGGCATGGAGTCTGACTACGCTTGCGCACATCATCAATTACCTCACCTCTCCTCACCTCCAGTCACCTCTCTCCACATTTCAGACCACCTTGTGCCTGTCCCGTAAATATCCCTGAGTCCCTATTTTCGGGGAACTGAATTTGAGGCTCATGCTCTCGCTTCCTCACGTGGCTGCCTTGTGATTAGACCCTCTCTCTGCTGCAATCTCGTCACCTCAGTGTTTGGCATTCTGGGCGGCGGGCAAAATTAACCTGGTTCAGTAACAAAAAGATTAGGAAGATTAAGAGATTTGCTCTGTTTGAGTCTGTATAGGTGTCACGAATGTGAGAAGAGACCTGTTCAGTTCACTAGTTTAGCCATGTGCTTGGGACGTTCCCACCCTTTCACTCTGAACTGCTGTCAAATGTTAGCACAGTTGCTGCCAAGACTGTCACTTCTGGCAGAGTGGCTGCAGTTGACCCTTTAGTGGACAGAGTTTTACATTCTGGACTGGGCTGCTGCCTTCAGCCTCCCTTCACCAACCTGAGAACGAGATAGAGCGGCACACCTGGAAAGGATAGCCTTGTCAAACACGATTTCAAATAAACATACGAGACTGAAGCTCAGATTGGTGTGGTGACGTGACACAAGGCCCCACGTGGGGTGGTGGAGGCACTAGGAGCCGAGACACTGCCTTGGGTGAGTGTCAGTTATTTGGCATAGGGACAGGGTCCCAGCTGTGCTGTCCATCCTCCTGCCACCTGCTGCCAGGGGATGGTCCCCAGCGGAAGAAAGAGGTGCTGCCTTGGAGGGTGTGTGGTGGAAACGTAGGCATGGAAAATCATCCCTTTTCTCTCCATCAGATACTGATTCCCCTCCAGGAACATGGCACTGTCACCATTGCTCCAGGTGTAGGATTGTGTGGTCCCAGGCCATGTGTCAACACAGACTTGTAAGAATGCTGAGAGGCAATTCAGTGTCTTGGTTAAGCAACTAGGCTCTGGACTAGATTGCCTGGGTTAAAGCTCAGCTCTGTCAGTTACTGCTGTGTGATCTTGCGCAAGTTATTTAACCCCTCTGTGCATCACAAAAATGGAGAAAATAGTGAGCAGTTTCCTTGCAGGGCTTTGTGAGGATCAAGTGAGCTGACACATGTCAATTGGCTTAGAACTGTTCCTGGCACATCGAAAATGCTCAATAAATGTAAGCTCTTTTCACTATAAAAACACTGCCCCACACTGGTTTCCTCTTCTGCCTTTCCCATCTATGAGCCTCTGTTCTTTTAATTCCTACAGCATTTTGGTCAATACAGACACGTTTAACACTAGATCATGGGATTTTAGAGGTTACTCCCTAATATGTTTGTGACAATTTTATCTTCCCAAGTTAGTAAGCGTTTAAAGCACATGGGTCACCGAGGAGATGTGAGAAGCAGCCCCAAAGGCAGTTTTCCTGAACAGTTGCTATTTTCTTCTTTCGCAGATGAGCTCTCTCCACAAAACGATATACAGCTTTTGCTTTTTAGGATTGGGAACCTGAGGGAAGCAGCTCAATGAGAGAGACTTCATCTGCGCTGTTCTCTGCTGTGGCCTCGGTGTCGAGGGCAGCGCTTGGAACATGCAGTAATGGATGTGTAATAAATCTTTTTTGAGCGAAATGAAAAGGCCCACTTTTTTCAGGTGTCCGGTAAAAGTGTTGGGGGGCTGGTTGCTTCCCAGTAGCAAATGGATCTGATTTGCTGGGGAAGAGCTTCCAGGAAGTCATGCTCCAGCGCCTGATGGACATCACTGAACCAACAACCTTATATCACGTCCCCCTCCCTGGGTCCTAGAGGAGGAAAGTGACCCTACATTTCGAAAGGCAGGTGATGCAGTGAAGTGAGTGTGGGTGTTGGGACCAGACACGTCTGTTTCAGATCCCTGCTCTATCACGAATCAGTGTGGTGCATAGGAAAATACCCTCTTTGAGCCTCAGTGTCCTCATTTGTAAAATGGGATAAAACGCTATTAATTTTTGTGGGACATAGTAGGCATTCAATGAAGAATATCCACTCTTATAGGAAAAGTGGCTCCAGGAACAAAGCGGGGGAGATTGCACATATAAATGTGGTATTTGCAGCTGTGTGCACCAGCGTGCTGGCTCCATCAGGACAGCAGGTCAGATTAAAGCAAGACACTCATGCCCTCAGTAGGACACCAGGAAACAAAGCAGTTTCCGTTCGTGAGCGGAGAGCGCGGAGGCATTTCCAACGGCAGGATTGAGAGAGAGGGCGAGGCAATTTCCCTGGCAAGGCCCCACTGAAACTATAGCGTCGGTCAGCAGGGGGAGCTGTGACTTCCCCGGAGAGAGGGTGTCCGGGCTCCCGGGATAGCAAGAACCAGTGCTGTGTACTGCCTTGCCTAGGACGTTGTTGCTTCAGGCTCACACTGCTGATTGAAAGCAGTGGGCTGGCTCAGTAAGAAGAAATGCATCTGCTCCAAATATTATGGCAGTCAGAAGGTAGCCCAGCCAGGGACCTGGTTCCCTGTGAGCTAACTGCTGAGGGCTTGGGCAGCGAAACAAATTGCCTTGGGCTCACTTTGCAAAACAAAGACAGAAGTTTAGAATTATGGCCAATGGGGGAACAGAAGATGTTGTATGGAGGCAAATTTCAGCTCAATATAAGCACTTCCCAGTGTTTCAAGCTCTGATCATTGCTTTGTTCAGGTAGAGTCTATATGATGATTTTTTTGGAGATACTGTAAGTGGGAGCTTAATAGATCATGTAGAGGGTAGAATCAAATGCTCTAGAAGGGCCTATCAACTCAGATTCTATGATTTCGTTCTCTGGTTAATTTTGCCATCAAACACTCAATGAGGGGCTTCGATTGCTAAGCCCCAGGCGAGGTATGGGGGGCGTGCAAAAGGTTAACAAGACATGAAGCCGTCTTTAGAGTATCTATCACTCTGGAGGGGAAGTCAGACTCGAAAATAAATAATTACAATATTCTGTGTCAAGTGCTAAAACAGAGAGATGTCTTATGCATACATTGCATTAAGAGCGTGAAGGAAGAGGTGCTAATTCTGGCTTCGGGGTGGTAGGAAAGCAACAGAGAGGAATACTCTTTCCTCCAGGTTTTGAAAGGTGAATAGAATTTCAATGGGTGGAGAGCGGAGGAAGTGCATTCCAGACAGGGGGCAGTGAGACGACAGGCCAGAGATGGTCCTCAGAGGCGCTATGACCACCTAACTCTGTGGTGAGCTTGCCATTCTCTTGACACCTAGAGGAAGTAGTGTGTTCCTCACAAGAGGAGACTGCATTGCAGAGTTGGTTCACTGGGTCATATCTGTTAGTCTTCTTTCTGCCTAAGGCTGTATGTTTCCCCAAAGTAGGGCATTTTCTTTGGCTTGTCTCTTATTTTCTCATAGCTCCTGGTAGCATACTTGGTCTATACTGGTGGCATACGTATTTGGCAATGGCTTGATTTCCTGATGGGTAAAATAAATTAATTCATCTCCTTATATCCTTTTCAATGAAAAGATAATTAATTGAGCAAATACAGTCGTGCATTGCTTAAAGATGGGAATATGTTCTGAGAAAGGCATCATTAGGCAACTTTATTGTTGTGTGAACATCGTAGAGTGCACTGAAGGGGAATAAAATTTACCACCCCAAAATGCGTCTCTTTAACATGAGGATTATTTTAGGCTGATTATTTTTAAGAAATAAAAGACTGAGAACATTTTTCTTGTTACTTCCTCCTTAACTGCCTAAAAGAATTCCGATTAAAAAAATCTGTCTCAGGAAGTGAGCTATCACCTGAGCATAACATGAACTGGGTGGTAGACAGGAAGGAACCTAGAAAAGCCTGTTGTTGGGCTCCCTTCTGTGTTCTTCTGTTTCTCTGTGGCCAAACACTTATTTTCCAAACATTTGCTCCTTTTTACCTACCTGTGAATTGCCTTCCTTGCCTTCGAAGTCCCTGACTCTCCCCACCCCCAACATCTTCTTTGTCTTTATCTGAGGATGGTATTTAAGGTGAGAGCTTCTGCCATTTTGGCAAGTTACTCAGTTTTCCTGAGTTTTTCCCATGTGTTATTAAACTCTTGTTTGTTTTTCTCCTGTTAATCTGTCTCATGTCAATTTAATTCTTAGACCAGCCAGAAGAACCTAAAAGGGTAGAGGAAAATTTCTTCCTCCTGTGCAGTATCTACACAAACCTAGGTGGTATAGCCTACTACGCACCTAGGCTATATGGTACTAATCTTATGCCACTGTCAGATATGTGGTCCATTATTGATCAGAATGTCATTATGTGGCGCACGACTGTGTTTGTTGGGAGCTAATGTCCTGGGTCAGAGATTCCTTCCTCAAAATGGCCTCTTATCAAATGTTCAATAAATAGAAATTCTTTCCCCAGGCTACCATTGTAATCACTGTGGACCAGATGCAGCCAGCCTTCTCGGAGCAGTGAATCTCCCTGAGGCTTTTCGTGGGCCAGTGGGAAAGCTGCAAGTCAGAGACCCGGGTTTGAATTCAGTGTTGGCTAATTACCAGCAGTATGACTTTAGGCAAGTAACTTGTTTCTGGGTCTCAGTTTCCTTCTCTCCAAAATGAAGCTAGAGATAGACCCAGTTGTAAGAAAGAATCAGCTAATGTAAAGAAGCATTTAGCACAATTCTTGGGACATGCTGGGCCCCCAATAGATGTTGCTATGTTATTTTTACATCTTCAGGAGATTTTTCTTTAATCTGATGTTTTCGTGGATATCTGCCTTGACAATTTTGGGTTTATTTACAAAGATGAAGTTACAGAATATTTGGAATCAGAGCCATCGGGGTAAACTAGAAATGTATATCTAAAGGTTGTCTTCTAGCAAGTGAGGGAAATAAGTAGAGAAATAAAAGGATGATGGTGAGAGAAAGGGGAAGAGAGAAAAAGAAAAAACCAGGGCACAAAATAGGTTTCAAAGTCGCTCTTGAGGGCTTTTCCTTTCTGTCTTTAATTTTTTGATTCAAATCTGCTTAGTCTCATTTGAGTTGTTCCGATGTTTGGAAAGCAGACATGAGAATATGTGAGCACACAGGCACCCAAGGGAGCAGCTGCCTTCACACGCTGATGACACCGAACGCGTCCAACCACGCATTCAAGCACTGATAATTACATGAACCAAAATGATTAAAAAATTAAGTGCTTTTTAGAGAAAGTTTTGTCCTCCTTTCTTATTTTTTTTAACCAAAAATCATTTCCAGTCCCTGACTGCTGTGCTTTCAGGCAGAGTGATTGATAACACAGTAGGAAATTTTAGTAGGGTGAAAAGTGCGTGAGTGCCACTGATTGCTGGCATGCTATTGCACGTGCTAATGCAAACGTAACATTTAAAATGTTATTGCTGTTTATGTGAATATTTAGTAAAAATTTGGTCATTTCTTTGTTGGAGGTTTTAAAAGCAACGTGTTTCTTCTTATTATTGTTATTTTAATGAAAAAAGCCTCCTCAAACTGACTAAATATAAAAGAAATAAGTAATAAAAATTAAGAAAATATGACTAACTTGGTAACGTAAGTGTCACTGGATGAAAGTGAATTTATAAAAAATAACAAGTAAAATAATTTAAGCAACACAAAATTACCAAATGAGTTGGAAAATCACTGTCAGTTGTGATGAGGATTTTTAGGCTGGTTAGTTTTAAAACTACAGATGAGATTCAGGCTCCAAGGAGTGGAATTTGTTTGCCCCTTTGTTGGGAAACATTTACATTTCTAAGGGAAACCTCTATCTGTGAAGATGCCTCCCTCTCTGTGCCAGGAAGAAGGGGGGATGGTCTTATCTCTAGAAGCTCTTAATCAATGCCAGAGGCAAGAACTTAAGTTGGTTACTGTCTGGCAACCTCATGTAACTGACCCCCCCCCACCAAATCCTCCTTTGTCTTTAGCCGAGGATAAAATTCAAGTGGTGACTTCTGCCATTTACTCAATCCGGTTTGATTCTTATCTAAAAGTTGTGGGACCGCCAAATGGCCAGACCATACGGGCACTGATACTATTTTAACTTTTTTACATATTCTTTGTCTTGTAAAGAGATAACTCACATACCTATGCCTTAAATTTAGCTCTAACCCTCAACTCGGGGCAGCAGCAGCAGCTCTGACTGCCCGTGGGTCCTGTCCCCACGCACCAGCTCTGCCTGCCCATGGGTCCTGTCCCCATGCCAGCGGGGGCAGCAGAAGCAGCGGCAGCAGAAGCTCTGACTGCCCATGGGTCCTGTCCCCATGCTATTCCACACTATTCTCTAAATAAAAGAGCACTACTGCCAGATCTTGAGAGTCTAAGAAATCTTTCTTTCGACTCCTCAGGCTCACCGACCCCGCATCAAGTTGCATAATGGTTGCCAATTTTTAACCACGGGGTCAGAAACTGCTATTCTTCCCCTGGGCATTTTATACTGCTTCTTCTGCTTCAAAGAAGTAAAATGCAAATATGCAATGTACCGAAATCAGATTGAGTGCCCAGTTTAGTCTATTAGGATCATATAGGGGGTCAGAACATGAGGCTAGTGCTGTCATTCCCAAAATTGTGTGCAGAGGTGCTGTAAGTTATTTGAAAATTTTGAGGAAAGCACAGTAATACTCCACATCTATTGAATACCAAGCGAAGTATTAGATGAAAATAGTTCACTGCTTTAATATCAGATAGGGCTGTGTTCCACTTGATGACATCAGATCTTTGCAAAGCTGGGTTTTGGGCAGTTGCAATATTAAAAAGCAAGCCTTGCTGGATATTCGGTCCTGTCCAAAACATAAGACATTTGGCCCATTAGACATTTGGTCCGTGCCAAAAGGTCCTTGACATTTGCTCCAGTCCAAAACCACCATGGGCATATTTGGTTCATGCCAAATGGTTTTAGACAGGACCAAATATCAAGGACCTTTTGGCATGGACCCAATGTCTCCGTGGATATTTTGGACAGGACCAAACATAACCATGTATCAAGGACCTTTTGGAGTGGACCAAATATCTTATGGATGTTCTGGGCAGAACCAAATGCCTGCTAATCAAAGCAAGTACTGCACGAAAATTGGTCAAGGTGGAACGGGAAATGAAGAGATGATGTCTGATTTGATTTCAAGGTTGAGAAGTTGTGCAGTGCCCAGCAGGCACATAAACCTCATTGTTAAGTAACTGTGATTATTCAAGAATAAAATAAAAGTACTGTTTTTCTTTCAATGTGTGTAGTATTTTTTCAGACAACTATAAAGCTGTAAGAACAGAAATACTTAAGTTGTTTGGACTTGACTACTTAAATGAGGAGCTATAGCCTGGGGGCACTGTGAAAGGATTACTTATTCCGTTAACAGGCCCCGTGAACCTACAAAGTTTGGGAAGCTCTGGGTTAGAGTCGTATTCTCGATATATTTTTTTAATTGACCTGGAGACCTCATCTATTGGTGTCAGGAAACTGCAAATTATCCTGTATCTGAGTCCAGCACTGTATCAATTAACCTGTGTTTCTTAACAGTTTCCAGTGTGAGTCACCTATTATGTTTCCTTAGGACGCCATCTTCATTGGTGCTGTCAGACTTGCATCCAGTCTTTTACCTATATCTCCATCCCTCTTTCTCTTCCCCTGTTTCTGTCTGTCTGTCTGTGTGTCTGTCTGTCTGTGTGTCTCTCTCTCTCACACACACACACACTCTTAGCCCATGGATACTGGCATGAATGCACAATGATACAATGTCCTTAAGTGGGCCGTGCATTTCAGGAGCAATCAGAGATAGACTTAGCTGGATGGCGATTGAGGGTGAGTGACGGGCCCACTTAGCCCCTGGGAACAAACAAGCACAAACAGGTAAGAAACTCGGGTCAGAGCAGGGCCGTGTTCTGGGATTTCTATCCTCCAGCAGCTGTTCCCTGCCTCCTCTAGCCTGTTCCTAACCACAATCACCAGATAAGAAAAATTCTTTCAGGTTCTAAATTTGCAGTGCCATAGAAATTCCTTAGGCTGGAGGGGAAACCAATAACAAAGAATTGAGACTTAGTTTCTCCATCTCTAAATCAGATGCCCTTAAATTGGATGTTTACAACAGATTTTCAAAACCCTTGAAATTTATAATCTTGTGAACTCAGCTGGGAGTGGAATTAGCAAAAAAGATCTGACGATAGTATGCAAATCAAGAAATGTTGTCATAATTCATAGAATGGAACGCACATAATGCATGCTCATCTATGCACAATGTATAGAATGAAACACTTTTAAGAACAGGAAAAAGGACAACATGTCGATATGTACAAGTCAGATTCCAAAGGGGGATTGCCTCTCTCTCCCAATTTCTACCAAATGCCAACATTTGGTAAACAAACCCCCAAACAACTGTCTGACACCATGTTAGAAGATATTAATGGAAACTCTTAAGAAAAATGACTGATTTCCCTTTGCATTAGGAATTCAATTTTCCCTTTTGATTAACCATTTAATCTACCCAGCAGTGTACTTGCCAGTGTACACAGAAGACTTGATAATATCTGTCTTTACTGTCCTGTTACAAGTACTCAAACATTTACTGTTCTTTTTGTACCTTGGGGCAGAGAGTGGCTTCATAGCTTCCCCAGGGCAGAGACTGAGGGAGTGGCATTCTGGTGAGGTGATTCTCTCCTGACACACAATAACAAAACAGGAAAAAATCCGGGCCCCCCTCCCTACTCCAAAGGAATTACAGATTATATCTGGTTACTTACTCTAGGTACTTGGAATTCCTGGTGCTGTGAGGGCCTGGGCACGGTTGGGACTCTGGATCTAGCAGAAATTGAAGTGGATGAGCGTGAGCGCGAGCCAGTATTGGCCTGGGAGTCCCCAGCACACTGGATGAAGCCTGTCTAAGAGATAAGGAATGTTATGTAGAATTTGGGAACCTAAGGTTAGCCTTTGTTTACATTTTAACTTGATTAATTGCAACAGTGAAATGCTGAGAGAAGCACTGCTGATATGCACTTTAGACTCACTCTTGTCCCTCCAAAATAGAAATTAAGTAGGGAGTCACAAGAGTATCTGCATTGTTCATGAATTTCACCCTCAAAGGAGGGAGAATAAAATAAGACAATCATGTCAACAGCTGCCACATCTAAGATTCACTTTTAAGGGTTTTGATCCATTTCACATTTAAAGAAAATTATTATTTGAAAATCATATATCACCCGTATTGTTAAATTCAATTCTTAAAGCTGTTTAAAGTGTAGATTATTGCCCGGGCACTTGGGAAACATGACAAATATATTGGAGGAACATGACCTTTGGAGTCACAAGTCCTGGGTTCAAGCATTTTTTTCACCAGTTGTTATCAGAGTAATCTTGGGAAAATTCTATAACTTTTTAAAGCTTCAGTTTCATCAGTTTAAAATAAGCATGGTAATATCTGCCTCAGGGGGTTGTGGTGGGGATTAGATAAGAATCTATGTGGAGAGTCTTGTCCATAGTATTCACTCTGCAAATGGCGATGACAATGGTGATAATGATGATGATGTCGTTGACAGACCAGAGAAGGTGTCTTGATTATTGATTTGTAACATTGAAGTGACTCCCACAGTACTCTAGGAGTAAACTCTAGGACAGATTGGTAAGACTGAAGCAGAGGGAAGGTTCTGGAAGAATAAATCTTTTTTTCTTCGTTTTCGATACGGTATAACCAAACAATTTGGCCCTGTGTCTCCCTGAGTCTGTGGCTTGCTCATTAGACTCACCCTTTGCCTTATTTCCTGCTTATTAAAGACTTGGCACAGAGACAGCATTGTTAGCTCTGGTGAGTTCAGCTGCTTTCCTGTACCTATGAAGATGATCATATTTTGATGATTTCAAAGCTTACTTCTTACCCAGAAAGTAAGCTTTCAAGACTGCTATTAGTTCAAGTGTCCTTTTGAAAACCAAAATATGTTTAACTTTGAGTCAGGGACACCTTGAGAGCAGGGGCCACAATTAGTGTCCCAAATTCCAATTTTTAGGCACTTACCATGATATGTACATGGTGCACACAGAGGGAGTCCCCTTAGTAGGCAGGCTGCTAACGTAAGTAGAGACAAAGAACTTTAAAGCGTTGGTTGAGCATAAACATCATTTATTATATCATCTAATTTTCCATACTCAACCAGAGTCTTATAGCAATTAAAACTGAGAAGACTGGCCTTCAATGGCACCTTCACTTTCTGCTGTTTTTAGGGCTTATTGTCAATTGGTTGTACCTGAGGTCATGGGACAGGGAAAGCAATCCAGGTCCCTTTTTGAAGCAGACCTAGACCCTAAGAAGCCAGATTGGTAGACAATAATGCCCTTTAGGAAATATTTTGGACTTTTTGCCTTCTGGGCACATGGTAGGATTGAACTTCTTGGTCCTTTAGTGGTTTGGGAACATGTGACTATTCTGGCCAATGACTGTGAGCCAAAGTAACATGCGTCCTTTCTGGGCTCAGAGCTTTAAATTCCCAATGCGAGATCCCATAGCACTTTCTCTTCCTTCAGCTCCGTAACCAGCAACTTTCAACATGGTTATTCCATTAGCCTGAATGCCTGGGTGACTGCTGAGCAGAGCCTAGCCCCTGTGGATATATAACATGAAGGAGAAATAATCTTTGTTTTATTTCCAGGCCTTGAGATTTGGGGATTGGTTGTTAATGCATCGTGCCCAGCTTCTGTTGACTGATGCATGAGAGGGATGTTTCTTGGCATCTTCATTGTATTTCTAAGTCATCTGAAGTCTCACCTCCTCCCCTTTCTTCCTTTGCTCTGATTCATACTTACAGACATAGAATCTTGGAGTTCAAAGAGAGCATAGAATTTACTTAGTTTTAGTCTCAGTTGTAAATTGGACCTACCCAGTACAGTTTTTTTCTTTCTCCCTCCAAAAACAAAATTGAAACAATCACAACGCCCTACCCCTCAACTCTAAAATACAAAAAGCATCAAGAGGCTCCCTACCTACAGGTTTTCCCCACAGGGGCTTCTTCTGTAGTTTTTTTGGTTTGTTTTTATTTTAATGCACATGTTCTTAAGAGGGAGTAATTCCTTATGTCCCTTTCACCTTGAGCTTGTTCTTTTTCTTTTTGTGAGAACACACTTGCAGAATAGTAACACTGAGAGGGAAGATGGAGAGAGTACTTAAGGCCAATTATTTTGCTTGAAATGCATCTTTTCTCTGCCAACAGTGATGACCCATGACTCACCTCTACCATCGAAGGACTAGAGCAAACAGCAGCCATTTTCCTTTAGAGTTCCCTTAAATGTCTCTGTAGCTTGATGATAATCTTGTGGGAAAGCCTGCAACAGTGAGTTAGAAACCATCCTATCACTTAAGATTCTGTCCTCTAACTGCCTAACAAGTTTGTAATTAATGGGAAATGCTCACATGGTGAAATATTTAACATAGCATAGTGGGGTGAAGCAGGAAGGACAATAGCAAGGAATCAGACTTCCTCAGTATTCTTACCTGTAGAATGGGATCATCATCCTTGCCTTGCCTAACACACTAGGTTGTGGTAGGGATGAGGGAGATAGTAATTGTGGAAGCGCTTTGTAAATGCTACAGAACCCAGCTATCTAAACCTCACAAGTTTGCATCTGGTTTTTCTTGTTCATCTGCGTGTTCCCAGACATAGCACAGTACCTGACGTACAGTGGGTGCTCAATAAATGTTCAAGGAATGAATGAACTGCAGGCCTTAGCTCCTTGCTCGAGGGGATATCCAGGGTTTCTCATGATGTTTTGAGTCTTGTAGGAGTCAGGACTCCAAGCAGGTCTTTCTAGTGATACACAGATCCTTTTGAGAAATCTAAAGTTTAGGCAATCTGAGAACTTATTTGAAATATAATATATGTAGCTTGCATAGTGGATGGGGTCTCCTTGTCCCTAGGCACATGCCCTCAACTTCACAGTCCTCTCCTTACTTCTGCTTCCTTCTTAATGTCTTCTCTGTGTCTGCATTGGCCCCTGACTGTGCTGCTATTGTTCTGTCCCATACCAATATAAGTACAGAGCTTAGCTATTCCACGAAAAGTTCATGTCCACTAAAGATTTCTTGTGTTTAATAACGTTATGGAATATTCAAGGAGTCACAGGGAGAGCAGTGTACTCTACACTGCATTCTGCTATCCCAGTGGCTCTATTCTTCCTTTTAGTTCTGCCTTTCTTTTCTTCCTTCCTCTTTTAAATAACTTGAACATTTCTCTCTTTTCTCCTAAAGAACCCTATTCTGCCCAAACCTCAAGTCTCTCTTTTTCCCTCCAGGTGCTTATGAGGACATTTTTTCCCCAACAAATGCAGTTCTTACTCTTATTTAGATTCTTTAATACCTAAATTTATGTAATATTTATTAATGATATTAATACATTTGTATATTACCTTATTAGATACAATACATGAATCAAACTTTGTATTATCTTATTAGACACAAACATATTAAAAGCATTTTTGAATCTTCTTTGACAACTTGTAGTTCAGCAACTTTTTAGTACCCTGGGGATCAGTTCTGTTTTTGGTGTGTACAGAGGGACCAAAATTGACTAACATGATATTTTATCTTGGATATAAGACAGACGCTGGAAAATGAAGAAATGATAAATGATTTTTCTTATTGATTCATCATCCTGTACACCACCATTTAGCACAGGCTGCAGAGTCAGACAGTCCTTGCAGTCAAACCCAGCTGGGCCTGCTTATAAGCCACATAACTTGGGAAAATCATTTAACCACTCTGAGTCTCAATTTCCTGCTGCATAAGATGGGTTATGAGGATTAAATACAACGAAATAACATGGAACTCTTTATAACATCTAGAACATAATAAATGATCAATAAGTGATTGATGTTTTTACTACTCTATCCAGGTTACTTAGGTTGCTAGAACTTGAAATACTTCAACATTAAGAGAAATTGATGCTTTTGTAGAGTCAATTGCTTCCTACTGGCCAGCAGCTCAAAGTGTAGGAATGTTTAACCATAAAACTTTTAAAAATAGTTACAAGGAAAATTCCCCTCCCAGAATATGTAGCATATATAGATGGACATCCAGGTGTAAAAATAAAAATTTTGGATACACACTTCTCACCCACAAGGCTAAAGAAGCCATTTCTCCCAGTGGTTTGCTTGGACTGGTAGTGGAAGGAATACCAGTTGGTATTCAGGAGATGAGACAGGCTGTGTGGCCCTGCACAGTGCCCTGACTTCTCTGAGCCTCTGTCTCCTTATCTGAGAGCATTCTGGTCAGTCCCCTCCACCCCTAAAATGACTCAGGGACTTGCAATGACTCTCTGGTTCCAAAGCATAATTCCTACTATTGCATCACCCTGCAGAGTGCCAAAGTATCCTGATTTCTGTATTTCCTACAAGTTGGAGTTGATGGCTCCTAAGCACTAAATTGTCATCTTTGCCATTAGTGCCAGTGAACATGATAAAAATGACGTTCAATTTAACCATCATTCAAAAATTGACAGTGGAGAAATTATGACAGGGTCACAGAGTAGCATATTTGATGGGCTTTACTGATCATCTGATCCCCTCTTTTATGCCCAGATGAGAAAACTAAGGCTGAGAAATCTGAGATGACTTTTCCTGTGCTCTCCCTATTTTCCCTCATACAGGCATTTTCCTTAATAAAACCCTTACGTGTTTAATCTCATTGTGGCATCTAACCTGGATTAAGTAGAGTCTAGTCTCAAGAACCTCTTGTTTAGCGTCACTGATTCATGATCTGGTCATAAGGCAGACGGGACACAAAAGTGAGTTATGTTCCATGTAACAACATTCTGCCTCCTGGGGCACAGCCATACGCTCTGCACTGGGGGTTGCAGGTCAATGGCAGCGTTGAAAGACCAGTTATAATCTTCCTTTGCCGCCATCGTTATAATTCAAATGCTGCATTCTTTCTGGGTTAAGCTTTTAAAATCTTTATTATTTGAAAATGTGTTATGTATCATGGTCCAAGAGTTTTATTTTAAAAATATCTTTATTTTTCTTTAAGGAACAAATGTGATATATTTGGCTCTTGGTAAGGAAAATCAAGGAGCTATCATATAAAGAAGGAGAGTTAAAATGAAAGGTTAGTAAAGGAGAGCATCACAGAGAGAGATTTTGGAGGAGGGTGATGACCAGCCAACATCCTTTCTGGGAGAAGCACAACGTTGTAAACTGTAGCGAGAAGCAAGAAGGCTGCACCTAAGGAGGAATTTGGCCCTGAGGAGTGGAAAGGGTCATGGACTAATCTCTGAAAGCAGCTTTTTGGAGACACCTCAAACCAAAGGTTCCTAAATTTAGTGTGCACAAGAATCTTCTAGGGAGCTCATCAAGACTGGAGATTCCGATTCAGCAAGTCTGCATAATTATTACATTTATAGTAAGGAATCTGCCGTTTTCTAAGCTCCCCGAGGCTTTCTGACGCAAGTGGTCTGATCATAGTTCGGAGCAGACTACCATAGATGCTTTGTCTGGGAGTGCGTCCCGTTTCAGGATGTGTGGAGGCAGAAGAATAGACTGAGTGAGTCTTCCTTACTCAATCTCAGACTCTGAAAATGAACTATTTATGCTTTTAAAAAGATACTAGAATATTTGGAAATATTTCAAGAGATCATTGCTCTTCTAAAATTTTTAAGGATATAAATTTAATAATAATTTTGTCCTGGGGTTGGCCACATGGCCTCGTAGTTGAGTTCATCCACCCTGCTTCAGTGGCCCAGGGTTTCGCCAGTTCGGATCCTGGGCATGGACCTAGCACCACTCATCAAGCTATGCTGAGGTGGCATCCCACATGCCACAACTAGAGGGACCCACAACTAAAAACATACAACTATGTACTGGGGGGCTTTGGGGAGAAAAAGGAAAACTAAAATCTTTAAAACAAATAATAATTTTGTCCTAACAGAGCTGTTTTTTCCTACTGATTCAGCATCACCCTGACACTTGTTTCTCAATCTCTTCCACTGTAGAAGTAGGATAATAACTGTAGTTACTTCACTGGGGAGCAGTAACGATGAATGAGGCCAGTTAGGAAAAACAATTAGGACGATGCTTTGCACATTACGAAGCAGGGATTGGCACACGTTTTCTGTATAGGGCCAGAGAGTAGATACTTTAGGCTTTGGGAGCCATACTGTTTCTGTTGCAACTACTCAGCTCTGCCATTGCAGCTAAAAGCAGCCACAGACAGTAAGTGAATGAGTGTGGCTGTGTCCCAATAGAACATTATTTACAGAAATAGGTAGTGGGCTGGATTTGACCCAGAGGCGGTAGTTGGCCTGCTTTTGCTATAAAGGCTTTATAAATTCTATTATTATTATTATTAACATAACGGCTTGTAAATAATCCTTAATAATTAACAAAGTAATCAGTTTTTACTCAAGAACTAAGTATATATACATTTGCAGGGTTTTTTTCCAAAGGAATCTGCTTAGAAGAGAAATGAAAACAAAAATCTTGCATTTAAATGCTGGTGTCATTTCAATGGACTTTAAAGAAAAAGTTTCCACGGACAGAGATTGCCATTGCGTTGTTCTAGGCCCTTGAGGGAGAAATCCAGGCCAAAGTAAAAAAAAGTCCACAAAGACTTTGGAGGAGTAAAGGAGAAATTTTCCTAAATATTTAATCTTTGACCTTTTCCCTGTCTTTGAAGGCCTTGGTCTGGGCTTATAGATGAGTTTATCTCCACAAACACAGTTTGTTGAAAGACTGGCCGCATGAATGTTTCATAACCAGATGTTTATCTATTATGTTGCTCAATGTCTATTGACATTGAATTGCTTGTGTCTTTTTTCGGCTTCAGTTCTAAGAAAATATTTGTCTCTCCTAAGAAACCGGTGTGCTTCCTTTTATCAGATGACAAAGATTACATATTGTTTTACTTTTTGCCTGGGTTATCTGCAAGGTTAGAGACAAACGCAAGGCTCAATCATTATGCTTTCCATCAACTTGGGAGATATACTTTCCCTCCTGGATGCTTATTTTTTCAAAATGTCAATGATCATTTTAAATGTTGTTGTAAAGGTGTCCTTCATTGTAAATTTCTTCAAATGCCTTTTAGATCTAGCTAAAATATAAACCAAATATGAAAAATAAAATGAATCAGATCATATTTGCAAAAAGAGTGTTGTTTTCTACGTGAAGTTCCTCCAAAAGTAAAGTATACATGATTATGAAGAAAATAAACTGGTGATAAATACCTTATCAGTAATAGAGGCTTTTGTAAATAAGTATATCATGAGACAAGGCTATGAAATTTAAGCAGATTATTTCAACATAGTAAGACAAATGCGTTAGTAGAGGAATGCATGGAGTGTGTGGGATGAGAAGGGCACTTAGCAACAGCAAGGTGGGATACAGGGAGGGCATGTGGTAAGGAAAACTTCCTAGATGACTGAGTTTCTCAGGCGCAGAAAAGAGAATCGTTTGAGCCAGAGCACGGAGGCATGAGGAAAATTACAAGCTACTTGCCATTCCTAAAAGATGAGGTGTGAGGCGGAGAGGGGTGAGAGATATCTTAGAGAAGAAGGGGCCAGGACACAGGGACCTTGTAAGGCACGCGAGGGAGCTTGAAGAGAAAGTGTAGATCCGCTCTTCCCAAATCTGGCTATGCATAAAAATCACCTGGCAGACTCTTAAGGACCCCGATTAAGAACAGCCTGAGAACCTAGACTCTCATTTCAGAAAGCTCTTCAGTTGAGTGAAGCAAACGCGGGTTCCCATCCCAGCTCCATTATAAGGTCCGCTGTGTGGTCTTGGGCGTATCACCCAATTTGCGCTGAGTCTCAGTGTCATCATCTGTAAAACAGGCCTAATGGCTTCACCCATCTCACAGAATCATTCTGAGAATTAAGTGAAATAATACATACAATGTGCACATGGCACAATATCTGGTCTGTGGTAAGTTCTAAACATATGTATATTTATGTATATAGCTAATATGCCAACTTTACTTTTATTGTTATAGCAGTGCTTCTGTCAAAATATAAGAAAAATATAAGCTATGTGGCTATTTGCTCAGCTTTCAATATGAGGCCCTGAAAGTCAGTTTGAGCATTGCTGTTGTATTCTAGGTCTCTCTTCTCGTTTTTTTCTCCAGTATTTTTGTGTGATTCTCCACTTAGCAACAACTGGAGCATGACCTAACATCTGAGAACTTTGTTACCAAGCAGAATCCAGATAGGAAAACTATGGAGGATGTCACACAGGAGGTGAAATATTTACCCACAATTTAAATTTTCCAACGATTTAAACCATGGGGCCTGCTTTTCATTCTGTGTAATTCGAGTATTTGTCCACACAACTCTCCTATATCATGGCTGGCAGCACTACTTAGCCAGTGTTATTTTGTTGTTTTTTTTCTGGAGAGTCCAGTGGACTTGAGGGAAGGATAGAACAGCAAAGAAATTTCATGCCACAATTTTAGTTTTATGCATAGACCTAATTCTGCTAATTCTCTAGTTACCACTCTTGCTCCATTCCTCTTATCTAAAGTTTAGGCTATAGATTTAATATTTTTTCTTTTAGCCTTTTGTTTTGGAAGTGCTGACTGACATAAGGCCAAAGGCACATAAATGCTGACAGATTAGAACCACTGAAGTTGGAAAAAAAAGGCCACAACAACAGCAAGAAGCCCCAGGATTTTCAACAGGAAGGAAAGAGAGAAATTAGATGACTCTCGCAGAGCCCGTGTCTTCAAAGGCTTCAGTATCCTCTGCTTCTGGGTGAAGATGGCATGTCTGGCTCCTTCCCATCGCCCAGGCCCAACCAGGCGATACTGGTAGGAGTTGCAGGGTCCAAAATAGAGTTTCACAGCCAGTTTAGGATCTTTTAACAAGAAAGAAAGGAAGTCTGGCTTCGCACCTATCTCTGAGGCGAGCTCGTCCAAGTAGTCGATGTAATTGGTCTGCAATGTCTGGCTCTGGCTCTTTCCAAACCTTAACGGAGACAAAAAGGCAGATTCACAAAATGTTCTAAGTTATATACGAACATTAGGTGCTCAACAGCCGTCAAAAGAATGAGTGAATGAATAATGCGTTTTGAATTAATCTCTCGTGGAAAGCGTCAGTGTATCCCATCGCAAGACCCATCTCCCACATTGAAAGTAGGCTGTAAAATAAATAGCTGTGAACTCCTAAAAGTTTTAGGAATGTGACAAGATTTATAACTACAATTATTATTTGATATTAACTAAGCAGCTTCAAGTCTTCAGGCAAATACAAACTAGTCAGGATTACTGCAGCTTCAGGAGATAACACCAATGAAAGCCTGGCTCGGTGTCCTGCACAGAGGAGAGGCTTAATATTTGCTTGTTAAATTATTCAAGTACCTGGCACTCTGGGTGGCAGATAGTAGATAGTCAATACATGGTAGATGAATTACAATTTGAACATGAGATAACACCTGCATGTGAAGTAAGGCCCCCCATTTAACTTTCCAAGGGTGCTTGATCACTATTGAACCCCATTCCACCTCATCACAAAGTACAAATCCTCGAACCGTCACTTCACGCCAACTTCTTTCTAATTTACTTTGATGGGAGATCCCTCAGCTAACTTTCCAAATACCCAGGCTACTGTCACTACCGTTGCTCCCATCCCATTCTCTAACCATAGAGTGTGTGTAGGGGGGTGGTCTCAGAAGATATGGACTCTCATCTCGTCATCACACAAAAATGGAATGAAGTTAAGTCAAGGAAAAATGTTCTGATTTGGGTAAAATTCCTATCTTTAAGTAGTGGGTTCTTACACTAGTATGTGTAAGGATCGCCTACGAAGAACATAAAAATACAGATAATCAGATTCTGATTCAGTTGGTCTGCGTTGTGGTCCAGGAATTTACATTTTTAATGAACAGCTAGGTGGTTCTTGCAGGTAGTTAAATTACTATGCTTTGGGAAACACTCCTCTATGTAGAGAATTTAAAAAAAAAAAAACGTTCTTACAGGTCAATTCTTTTTTCATTCCTCTTGATAATGTCCGCCATCATAGTCCTCTCTGAGGGCAAGGTACACAAGCCTAGAAAATGAAAGGCTGGTTTGAGTAGTGGGTTTGATTCAATATCATTGCCTTATCTAGTACTTGATTCCTGTAATTAAACTCTGGTCATTTACGTGCATTTTACCAGTCAAGGCTGCTGTGTTGTTGAACACCAGGGTGCGCCACTCCCACTGAGTTCTATGTGATGCTGCCCTTGGAACACAGGCTGCAGCAGGAACTCTGAGGTGGAGTGGGTAAGAGAAGAGGTGGGAGAGGGAAGGCAAGCCGGTGGAGCCTGGAAACCATGCCAGGTGGCTTGAGCTCTATTCTGAAGGTGATGGGAAGCCATGGGAGGGTTTTCTTTAGGAGATGACAAGATCAAATTTGTCTTTTGGAAAGATCGCTCTAGCTGCTGAATTTTGGAAAATGGACTGCAGGAGGGTGAGGTTAAAGGCAGCAAGACTGGTTAAGAGGGTACTGAAGTACACTGGATGAGAGATACAACAGCCCAAACTAAGGGAGGGCAGTGGGGATGGAGAAAGCAGATTGATACAAAAGTTACCATTGTGTGCTTATGATTCCATCTCCTGTCTGCAAATGTCCCCTGAGCTTCAGACATATTGAAAAATGATGAGTTCTCCTGGATATGGCTTGTCATCAGACGTCTCAGATTCACCAAGTCTAAAACTGAGCCCATCATTGAAGCCCTCTTGCTTAGACTTGTGTCTTTTTCCGCACGCCCCCTCTCTATTCACAGCACTGCTGTCCATCCAGTTTCTATGGTCAGAGATCTGCAAGTCATCCTTAATTCCTTTCTCTTTCTCTTATTTTCCTACATTGAGCTAATCATTATGTCCTGCTGATTTTATCCGTAACTATTTCTCACATTTACATCCTTGTCTCCACCTTGCCTCTTTGCCTGGCTCAGGTTGCATCAGATTTTAGTGCTGACTATTGCAGTAGCCTTCTCACTGGTCTCTGAGACTCCACTCTTTTCGCCTTCAAATCTATCTTCCAGACTAATGGTGAAATAATCTATTGAAACTGTAAATCTGATAATGTCTATTCCTTGCATATAACTTTCATTGGATCCTATGCCTGAAGAGCTTTCTGAACTGAGAGTCTAGGTTCTCAGGCTGTTCTTAATCGGGGTCCTTAAGAGTCTGCCGGGTGATTTTTATGCATAGCCAGATTTGGGAAGAGCGATCTACATTTTCTCTTCAAGCTCCCTCGCGTGCCTTACAAGGTCCCTGTGTCCTGGCCCCTTCTTCTCTAAGATATCTCTCACCCCTCTCCGCCTCACACCTCATCTTTTAGGAATGGCAAGTAGCTTGTAATTTTCCTCATGCCTCCGTGCTCTGGCTCAAACGATTCTCTTTTCTGCGCCTGAGAAACTCAGTCATCTAGGAAGTTTTCCTTACCACATGCCCTCCCTGTATCCCACCTTGCTGTTGCTAAGTGCCCTTTCTCTTACCACACACTCCATGCATTCCTCTACTAACGCATTTGTCTTATTATGTTGAAATAATCTGTTTAAATTTCTCTCTATCCCACCAGTTTCCAACACAGGGCTAGATATGCAATGAGTTTTTGTTGAGCTGAATTGAACCCTATGGTCAAAGAGATAATAGTCTTCTGGAGCGCAAAGTACTATACAGATGCTCAGATAGAAACCTTTCAATAATTTTACAACTTTGTAGGGATCTGTGAAGTTGAGCTGCTTAACTGTTGAGAGTTAATTTGGAGTTAAGTATGGAGTAGGCCCTAGGTCTCTTGATTTGCACATATTCTGAGGAATTTATAAACATCATATAGGTGAAACCAGGAGTCATAGATGTCTTCCTTCTTAGCTGTTCTCTCATGATTCAAGGAAAGAACAACATGTACTTAACTTTATGCCAATCACAATTCTCTGAATTACTATTTCAAAGGAATGATTGCAGATATTTATTACTCTTGCATCTCTGTATCTGTTATTTTGTGAGTTCTCCACTAACTTTTTAGGATGCTAATCTTGTGAGAGCAGCCCAGATTGGTAACCTTCTTCTCGGCAACGTTCTTATTTAAACTCATTATTGAGCAAACTCCACCAAGTGTGAAGACCCTCAGCCACTCACTCGCCCACTCACTTACCTTTGAAAACTCTTGTCACCCAACGAGCTTGAAGTTCAACAGTTGGGAAAATGGAACCTAGGGGCTGGATGAGACCAATGCATGCCAAGGTTGACTTTGCCAGGTGAGGAGGGAATATGTATCTATACAGTGAGACCATATTATCCTCTACTTTAACAAGTGATTCTTCAAGGAAGGGAAAAGAGAAAGTATATCCCGTTGCAAAGACAATAATATCAATGTTCTCCTCCACTGTTCCATCCTCAAAGATGGCGGAAGTTTCTGTGAGCTCTTTCACTCTCGATTTCACCTTGATGGCTCCATAGAGTATACGACTTGGAAGGTCATCATTTAGTACAGGTTCTTTCATAAGGTATCTGAAACACACAGAAGAAAACACTTAGAAGGAGCTTTTAATGAGGAGTCTCAAACTCTCCTGAGTTTTTATAGGGTTGGCTCCTAGAATAAAGAGGTTTCTTAAATATCTATAAAACTTTCTAACTTGACTCGTTGGCCTGCCCCAAATCTTACTATCTGACTTTATTCTCATGTCAAAAATCTCTCCTCTCAGCAAATAGTTGAAAACATGTAGGTGACATGGGTAAAAGACAATTCAAAAAAGGAGGCATCCCCAAGGAGTTAGGCAAAATGCCAGTGCCTGTGGTCAATTCCTGAGTATTCCAGTGATGTTTCCACCATTGTTTTATGTCATCTACCTTTAATTATCTTGCTGTTCCATTTAATCTCTAACTGATCATAAGTAAGAAAGGGAAAATTGAATTCCCATTATTTTTGAAACATTAAGGGATCAGTGTGAAAATTAATGTATAAAATTAAGTTTAGAGGGGCCGGTCCCGTGGCCAAGAGGTTAAGTTCCCACTCTCTGCTTCGGCGGCCCAGGGTTCGGATCCTGGGCACAGACATGGTACCACTCATCAGGCCATGTTGAGGCAGTGTCCCATGTGCCACAACTAGAAGGACCACAATAAAATATACAACTATATACTGGGGGGATTGGGGGAGAAAAAGCAGAAAAATAAAAAATGTTGGCAACAATTGTTAGCTCAGGTGCCAATCTTTAAAAAAAAAAAAATTAAGTTTGGGGATGTTTCTTGACCCCAAATACCTATGAAGTCTCTGTATGTGATAGCATGGGTGATGGAGCAAAGCCTGCTTGTATTTCTGGAATTCCCTTTTTTATAGATTTGAGAACCATTTTGCAAAAAAAAAAAAAAAAAATATATATATATATATATATATATAAAAGACAATACATGCCACACCAATCAGACCTCAGAATACACAGTCCCATGGCATTTGTTGAAAGATTTGTTGAAAGCTCTTCTGTTCTTTTTTTTTTTCTAAAGGGAAGGAGTTTGTTATCAACTAAAGAAAAATAAGCATTCATGTTTTCTTGTGTTTATAAGGTCAGTGATATTTAACTTTGAGATCAACAGAGATTTGTTTTTTGGCAAAGAGACAACCAGCATGTTCTCAAAAGATGTCCGTGGGAAGAATCCTCATGGTGTATAGAACTAACAAAGCAGGAGTTATCAGATGGAGAATTTGGGACATGTTTCCCACCACACCCCTCTGAAAGGAAGCTCACAATATCTTAAAGTGGCCTTTTCCAATGTCGGACAGCTTAGGTATTAGAAAGTTCTTCCCTTGATCCTAGGTCTGCTTTCTAGAGCAGTTCACAATATTTCTACTTCATCTCCTGAGTATTTACTTTTTACAAGGCGTACAGAACAAAGTTGGAATTCAAACTCCAGGACCTATGTGATACCTATACTGTTAGGTTGTAGTTTGTAATGCTGTTTAGCAATGTGGCTCTTTGTGAAGAGAGGCACTTCTGACAACCTTGCTTACCAATGAGTTTACCATAAAAAAGCAAAATAACTCTACTTGTTTTGAGGTTCAAGGCCATAATTTTTGTGGTTGAACCACTGATTCATCTGTTGGTCCATCATCTGTTTTAGAATTGTTCGTGGCAGAACGTTTCGGAGCATGGAGCTAAATCGGGTGTGAAAGATCATGTCCCAGGGGTAACCATCTTCAGAGATACGACTCATGACCCAGGAACCATGTCTGGTGCTGATAAACACCTGTTAAGCAAAAAGAAATACAATTTACACTACGGCATCTTCCCTTTTGGGAGGACCTACTATGTAGGTGATATATCATGTGTTTGGCCCCAGAATTTGCTGAAATGCTTTGTTTTAAAGATGATTGACCTCAAAGTGAAGTACCTTCTAGTTTTCACTGCTCTGTGACAGCTTTATCGTAAAAGGGGTGCCCAGTGGTCCACTGATAGAGGAAGACTACAACAGTCTTGAGAACGTCATGGAGACATGAGAAAGCCTTCGGGCTAATACCAATCATGAAATCCACAAGTCTTCACCATGTTTGCAGTTGTGGTTCGACGCTTTTCTCTTCTCACCTTTCCACCCTGTTGTGGTGATGGTGAGCAATTATAATCCTAGGGAATGTATGTTTACAGCCTAATGACTAGATAGGCATAAATGTACGAATCTGTATAACCCCAGAGGGAGAATAACAAGGGAAATCAGCTTCCTCCCATCCTTAAAAGAACTTCATAATGTATTTTAAAAGGTAAAACCACTGAGCTTATACTGTGATTCCCATTCTTTTCAAGTGCATATCTGAACCCCCTTTCGATGTATTCTTTACCTTGTTTACTTAGGTTTCCCTTGTTTTTGAAATGTACGTTTAAATCTCTTTTCAAATAGACATTTCACCTTGTTTACTGTTAATCCTCCATTGTCTAAATGCATATTTGACTTGCTTCTCAAAATTTTACATACCGTTCTATGAGTTCTGTTGTAAAAGGCTGCCCTTGACAAACACTTAAATAAGATTCTCTTGCAAGGAAACCGATTTCCTTAGGAGTTTAAGATCATGGACTCGAGATCCAGGACTTCTGGATCCAGACTGCCTGGGTTTGAATCTCAGCTCCACTACTTACAAGCCGCGTTGCTGTGGGTGAATTATTTCAACCTCTCTGTGCCTCTGTTTCTCTCTCTATAAAATGGGGCTAACAGTACTCACTTCATGGGATTATTATGGCAGATTAAATGAGATGATATATGTAAAGGACTTAAAATATTGCCTGGCAGGTGATAAGCATGGCTAGCTATTATTATTTTGTAAATTTAGGCTGGAGGAGAGGCATTTCATACAGTGCCACATGTCTGGGGTGAGCCAGAATTTGGAGACAAATTTTCCTGGGAAGGGCCTCAAAGCCTTAGCTTGTGAAGTAGCACCTGCATGAAGCAGTGTTGAGTTGTTGGTCTGTGTGTGGTAATACACTTTTGTCCTGACTTTTTCCTGTTCTTGCCCTTATGTTGACTTGGCAATGCTTTGATCAGGTATTAGACATTATACTTAGATGTTTCCATGAGTTCTCTTTCCATTACTTACTGTCCCCTCCTCTTCCTTAGGATCAATCCATGTTTCACAGTGGATGTTCTGCCTGCTTTATTTGCTGTCTTTCTCCTGTCACGTCCCTACAGCAGGGAGCCTAACCTGGCTAGCTCTACTAGCCGCAACAGGGTGATGTACCTGAGGATTTAGGCTCAGGCTGCTTTCTCTGAGGTGCAAATATCAGGCGAAGGGCCGGAGATTTGGTTTTGGGTGGGAAAGCATGTGGAGGAGTCAGCACTATCCCACAGTACCTTGAGTGGTGCTTTTGGACTATGGTAGAGCATGCGGTGTACTTACGAATGTGAACTTCCTTCAACAGGTGCAGAGCACACTCAGGACTGTGATGAGTTTAGTTTGCAGTGCTCAGCTTTGCAGGGACACCTAGTTCTGTCCCTTACGTATAGCTCCTGGAGAGTCTCTGGTAAGTCTTCTCACAAAAGGGTTGAGAGTACATTACTTTGTATAACAGGTTTTAATCATAATTATAATTGATGTTATTAATGTAATAAATATCGAAGAGACATTCTCTTGAAAAGATCACTTAAGGAGCTGTAAGGCACACAAATATAGCCAAGGTGCTTTCTTAATATTGAATCTGGCATCATAGAAGTCTTTTTACCTGGCAAGACCCATACAAGGAACTGGCTCTTGCAATCCTGGATTTGCTGTCTTCGGGACATCTGTGCTAAGGCCAAATCACTGACCTGACGGCATGCATTGGTTTAGTCTGCAGCGCCACTTGGTTGATAGCCCCGTCAGCTCCCTTTCTCATACTCCCTTCCTCAGGCTTGGCAGGTATTCCCAACAGGAAGGAGCTGGAGCTGGGGCCTCACCCTCTCCAACTCTGTTCTGCTCCAAGCCTTTACAGTCACTGCCTCCTCGCTTGTTCTTCACATCAGGGTCTTAAAGCTTTGAAAGGTGAAAAGGGATTTCTTTCCACAAAAAAGGTGAGAACCTCTTGGGTCTAGTAAATTTCTTTCTGGTCTTAGTGACCTGCTCTGTCCCCAGACTGATACCGACTGACAGGGACTCTGACCGGTCCCAGGGTAACCCCTGCATTAACTTGCTGGAGAGGAACCATGTTTGTTTCTCATGTTTGCTATGCGGCATCTTAAGCCTTGAAAGCATGAGACTCAGGACAGGATGGTTTGGCTGGTGAGGATACAGCCATAGTAAGCCCTGTGTAGCCAGAAGACGCCATGCTGAGGAGGCCAGTGAGAGAGTGATAGGGCCCCGGGGTCCAGCCCTGTTGAGATGGAATGCTCTAGGGAGAACAACCTTAGCTATTTTCCCATCTTTGCCTAGGTCCAGAAGAGATTTCTTTCCTGCCACTCCCAACCATAGCTGTAAGCATTATCTACATCTTGTAATGTTTGACTCTTTCTTGAGAAGGCGTAAAGATGATAGCAGTTGGAAGGCCTCAGGGAGCACCTAAATATCTATGGTCTTGGTTGGGAGTCTGTCTATTTAATCTTCCTTGTCATGATCCTTGGGTAACTAAGGATTATTTACATTTCAAATAGAATTCAGATATGCACTAAATTTCTAAAAGGCACTCCCCAGAATATGAACAGGTCAATAAGGCCTTTTGTGCTGAAAGTCATCTGGTTCAAATTTACCCTTTAAAATGTGAGAGAGCCAAAGCCCAGAGAAGTAAAATGACTCACTCTAGGTTATACGGCTGATTAATGGCAGAGCTGGGAGGTAAACTCTGGCTTCTGGACTTCCAGATGTTCTATGATACCACACTGAACAACCAACCAACCAACCAACAAATTAATGAGTTATGGAACCTTGGTTATACGGCTGGGATTTTCCCATATGCCCCTCCCCTTTCCTTTCCTCCATAGTAAAAGGTAAGCAGAGAGTGTCGCACCTGAGCAGCCTTCTTACTCAGCTCGACAGCAATATCTGAGGCGGAATTTCCTATTCCAATCACCAGGATGTGTTTCCCCTCAAATCCCTCTGGGTGCTTGTATTGGCGGCTGTGGAAATACTGGCCTTTGAACCTCTCGATACCTAGAGGGGAAGAAGAGAGAAGTCCATGAACTATGTCAAGTTAATTTCGATAAAACCGTGTTGTTAGCTTTTCCTTTCTTGGACCAATCATTGTTTTGCCCCTTCCCCTCTTAGGGGGGTTACAATAGCTAGGTCAAATGACAAACTCAAACTATGAAGTATATAAGAAATGCTGGGTTAAGCATAAGGTATAGGACTAAAGGAGTTGCTTTTAGAGGCTGCAGCTTACGTATTTATTAGAGAACAAACAAATGGTTTTGATGAATACAGCAGAGTCAGATGCTGCCTTATGACTACCCATCATTCTATTTTAGACTGTACAATGATATTTTAATATCACATAGTATATATTCTTTTAAATGTTTCTTAGATACATTATGAAGTGATATTATTGTAATTGCGTAAAAAGTAAAATAATATTTATCATCCTTAATTTGCAAAAGCAAACAAAAACTAAAACTAAAAACCAGGTCCATAGAAGGTGAGGGATGGTTTCCTCATTGAGATAACTTCCTGGACAAGACTCTTTGAAGGCAAACCTCTCTGTCCTTTCTCAGGAATACAGGATTTTGTTAAACTATTTGCCATTGATGATGGGTTGCTTGAAAGAACCTTTAGGTCATTAGTTCTCTGAGGGTGGTCCCTTGGCCAGCAGTATTAGCATCACCTGGGAACTTGTTAGGAATGCAAATTTTCAGCCACACACCAGACCTACTGAATAGGAAATACTAGGGGTGGGGCCTACCAAGTTGTGTTTTAAAAAGCCCTCTAGATGATTCTGTTTGAGAACCATTGCTTTAGATCAGTAGGTCTCAATCCTGGTTGCACATTAAAATCATTTGAGCAACCCCAGTTGACCTGCCCTATACATACTGAATCTTGGAGGTGGGGCCTCAGGCATCAAGGCTTTAGAAGCTCCACAGTGGTTCATATGTGAGGCCTGGACTGTGACCCACTATATTAGATGTTTTCCTGTGGGTCTTGGGAGGAACTATGCTCTCTGAGGGAAGAGTCTGGGAGGTACCTGGACAGATGGCTGCAGCATTCCATTGTGTGTACTCCTCCCCTGCACTCCGCTGTCCCTCATCTCTGTCCTATAGGAGCACTTATTTCCAGGAACTCTCCCCAGTCACCATGTCCATGAGCATGGTTCTGTGGGAAAGGCTCCAAGGACATAACAAAGTCACAGGTGTTTAGCAGGATAGAAAAAGGCCAAGGTGGGTACATGGCTAAAAGGGCTTTTCCAACAGAGAACCAGTTTGGATGAGAATTCTCTGAAATTCTGGGGAAGATTTAGTGACTTTGGAGGTTAGCTGAACTCCCTGTGTAATGAAGACCCAAAGAAGTCAACAAAAACAAAGATGGTATGTAGAGTCTTTCGTCTTTCCAGCTCCATCCCTGTCTTAATATTATGCCCAGTTGCAGCAGCTAATTCTGCCTGTCAATCCAACCTGCATAGAGAGTACCTGGACAGGTACTCTGAAAAGTTGGGAATCCCTGCAGGCCTCACCTGGAAATGACTCCAGTGGGATGTGAGGGAGGATGTGGTGGCCGCTGCAAACCATAACTGCGTCAAACACAGCACGCTGCTCCTTGCCGTTGCTCTCGGTAACAACCTCCCATTGGCCAGAGGATGAAAAATCTGGGCGTTTTTTCACACTGAGGACAGTTGTCTTGAACAAACACAGAGAAGGCATCATTGAGAACTACTCTGGCATGACATGGGCCTTGTCCAGTGCCCTGGGAGTGGGGACGGGTAAAGTGCAGTGTATGACTCCATTTAGGTTTCATGTGAATCATTCCAAGACACTTAAGGCAAAGACTACTAGGTGCGCTTTCTCATTCTTCTTTGGGAGGGGGCTGTCAAAGTTAGGCTGCTTTGTGCAAGAGGCCTGACCCAGCAGTGAGAACCAGCCTGTGAAGGACTGAATAAGGACTTGAGAGAGACACAGAAGAGGAAGATGAGGGCCTCCAAGATACAAAACACATGTCCATCATTCAAGTGATCACACAATCAGTATTTATCAAGAACCTTTATGTGTCTACCTCTGTGCAGACTCTATTAGAGAAGATCATTCATGTGAAGCACTTAGCAGAATGCCTGGCACATTGTCAGCACTCCACGAATGGTGGTTGTCCATATTTATTCTTTTTAAAACACAGTGCATCATGTTAGCAATACAGCTCATGATCTCATTTGGATGCAATAATTTATTGGCTCATTGATTTTTTTTTTTAATGTAGCTCACTGTCTGGAGGTCTGTGAATTTTTGAAAAGTGTAAATACATGTTGTGTCTGCTGTATTTAAGAAACAATGTCAAATGGAAGTGAAGCTTTTCTCACTTCCAGAGGAATGGCATGCTTCTCCTCTTTCTTGCGAGTATTTGAGTCCCTTACACATGCTTTTCAAATTTTCAGATATTTTTCAAAATGCTGGGTTGTCAGTTTCTAAAGCTGTTCCAATTTAAAAGTGTATATGGAATATTAGTATAAAGCTTGTGAAAGGAGTATAAAGTGTCTGGGCATTTTCAGCTGAGAGTAAAGATTTCAGATTGGCAGTTCAGAATAGCGTATTAGCTAAAGTACTGTGGATTCTTGCTGTTGAAAATGTGGTTTGAGGACCGACACCTTCAATATCACTTGGGAGGTTACTAGAAATGCAACAGAGCCTTTTACAGTTCGAGTTGAGTTCTAACATCTTATGACTTATGCCAACTCAGAGATCAATAAGTGGAAATAAATTTTCCTAACCGCTCTCCAACCTCCAGAAAATAGTAATAGCAGTAACACAATAAATAAGAAAAACAGTTCCCTTGCAACTCAAAGATGATCTTTAAAAGAACAGATAATATAAATTATATATCCTAAGAGGACACCATATCAGTTAAATAGATTGATTGCTAAGTGGATGAAGACCTAGAAAAGCTTCTGCAAGAATCTGTCACTCATAGGTTGGATCTACCAGGAATTGTGGGAAAAAGCTACATTAGACAGAATGGGGCATTTTAGTGGTATTTACAAATATAGATTTCCACCAAAATCAACTCTTATAAATTAATATAATACAAACCTAGGAACAAAACTAAAGTTACTGAGAAAATGAGATGTGTTAAAAAAAAATAAGCTCCACTAGCACTTACTTATTCAGAGATATAATTTAAATTTTATTTCCTAAGCACAGTTACTAGTTTTCAGAGTGTAGGTTATTGATAAAAACTCAACATGTTTAGTGAGAATATTGTTTGTCTCTTTTTGATTATTTATTTTTGAGAAAGCACAGGAAATGTGGTTCTAATTGTATTCAAAATCATCAGGCCATCCTTATGTTGCTAGAGAATGCGTATAAAAGAAAAAAACTAGCAAAAATAGTTTCTACAGGCTTCTGAGATAAATGGAGAGCTATGAGTTTATTTACTACATTTTCCTAAGAAATTCCATTTCTTTAAAGAAGGTAAGAAAATGAAATAGCTGTTTGATTTTTTTCATATGTCATTTTAAGAGAAATGAGGCTAAGGGTCCTCAGTGGTTATAGATATTAGTTTAAATGCTGTTTCACCATCAATATCCTCATCATTCAAACTTTTAATTTTAACAGATGTTTTTCCTCTTCTGTTAACGTATATAATGTATAATATCAGGGTGATGACACCACTTTTAGGGTTTTCTATCATACTATTATATTTTAGCAAAGAATTGGATTGAAATATTTTGTTTTATTCACAATTTCTTTTATTATCAGAGCAACTTCTCTATTTAAATGTGAGCTAAACTAATGTAGAGAAAACCATTCCCAATACAATACCTGGAACTGAATGTATTTTAGAAGATCAAACTTTTTGGCAAAAATCCTGAAATATTCCAGAAGCTTAGAATTGTGCAGGAAGTTTGGAAAATCTTCAGGCATGGGAAAGTCACTGAAGCATGTCATTTCTTTGCTGGTGTTGGAGATGACAGACTGATAGATACTTGCTCGGCCATCTTCAACATTTTCCTAAAAGATCAGATCAGAGTGATAATCATGCATTAGAAAATCCTTTGATTTCCTCCTCTTCTTCCAAATCTAACCCCCAGGGGATGTGGTCCTCTTTCATTGCTGTGGTGTGCCTGAGATGTCTAGTGATGACGGGCAGTGTATGTGCTCTGTTATCTTGTGTGATAGGGCCTCACTGAGGCCTTCCAGTATTGCTTACTGGAGGCGCTATTGCCATTGGTGGACTTGGGAGTGGGAACAATCCTTCTTTTGGCACATTGCAGGATATTTAGCACCCCAAGTCTCTATCCACTAAGTGTCAGTCATCCCCCTTCCGAAATTCCCCCTGGGGAGACTACACCCACCTTCCACCTCTTTAGGAACCAATAACCCTGGGACACTGGGCAGAGAACATAATAGAGAATTTCAGTTAAAATGAGCACTTTTGGGGGCAGGAAGTTTTCACATCTTAATTTGAATCCCCCACCTTCATTTTATGCTTTATGCAAATCAACCTTCCTCAAGTGACAAAGGTGAAAAGCATCAATACCAATAAAATTTTAAACCTGATTCTGAATGTTAGTGAGTATGCTTTGGTCAAACCGGAGGCAGCACATGCTGCGGTTGAGTTTAAAATTTCCTCTACAAGAAGTGCTCTGCATAATGATAAAGTCCTTTACATTAAATCATGACAAGAATCAAGTATGGCGATTCAATGTCCCTGAAATCAGCATGTTATCAAAGAGGGTTTTATAAGAAAACTTAAATAATGTCACCCAAGAACTCCTCAATAGATGTTTCTGCACATGCAGAGACTAAGGCATAAACCAGGCAAATTGTAGTTGCTATTAGGACTCAGCATTAGGGTGGGGGGTTAAGAAATGAAAGGGTTGTAGGAACTCATTAATTAATTGAAATAGATTACTTAATCTTACATAAACAGTGCTGAAGTCTCAGCATAGAATAGTAAGTAAAGGAAAGTAAATATTCAACTCTGTGTCACCACAATGAATCAATTGTGCATGTTCCTTTCTTATCATTATTCATAGAAAATTGTTACTTTCCTGCCAAATCTTTAGATCAAAGCTCCTTAGATTTTTGGCAACACCAAAAGAGGCAGCCTGGACTAGCAGAAGGACCTGGTCTTTGGAGTCCTGCACAGGTTTGAATCCATCTCTTTCAGATTGTGTGAGCCCGGACCAGCCCGTGCCCCTGAGCTTCGGCCCTCTCATCTATAACACAGGGATGTGTTGGTGCTCAATGGTATTGTTGTTATCTATCGTTATTGAGGAAGCTACAAGCTTCAGAGAAGCTGTCAGTTACAGCTCACTGTTCACTGCAGTATATGAAAGACACCTTGCGTAGCTGCTCTGACACCAAGGTAACTGACACAAGCGCACTCACTATCACGCCTGAGTTTTCGGACTTTTCTGTACAAGAGGTTGTACTTAATTTTAGAAAGTTAAGAGTCAACTGTGGGATCTCGCCTTTTCTATCAGCAAAGCTCTTTATACGTTTTGGGCTTCACTGTGTCCTAATTTCAAGGATTATCAGCATCAATATGAGTCACCCAAGCTAAAACAATGTTTGCTGTCAGATCACATCATTTAAGAGCAATATATAGATTCTTGCTAAATATAGGTCTGTGTAGCCGCCCCTGACATAGGAAGGGTTAATAATCACTGGAAAAAGCTTGCCAACAAACTGTGACCCGGAGGTGAGAAGGCCGGTTAGCCAATGACGGGTAAGACCCCCTGGGGGGGCAACCTAAGCCAGGCGGCGGCCGCCAGGGGGCACAGATGGAGAAACGATATCGATATCGGGAGCAAGAGGGACCGTTGCCTAAGAGACCTTGCCTGCTCTGAGATAAAAATATGGGAGCACAGCAACAACATGATAATATCAAAAAAGAGGCCAAGGGAGGGCTCCTGGAGAAATCACTAAGAATTCTTGGCATTCGCTAATTACTTCATCCAGAACACCTGTGTATGTTTAACAGATGTAAGCTATGTATATATTGAAACGCTGGTTATAATAAACTCAGAGTGGCCATCAGCCCTGTCCGCATCTATCCTGATGTGTACATTGGATTGCGACACCGACAGTCTGAATTTGTAAAGATCCTCCTCCCTCACACATTCCTTCTCTCTCTTTCTCATTCACGCATTCATTTATCCATCCACCCATCCATTCACTCACGCATACCATAGGCCAGGAGTCAAATGCCTTTTTCCATGAGCAATGTGTTGATCTTTCCTACTCCAGAATCACGGCTCAGATGATAACTTTGTGACAATTTCGAGTGGTTTGGTAAAAGCTCTTCAGATTAGGGTAGGCCAGCTTTCTAGGTGATGAGGGTTTGATGTGGTGTTATTATTAACGATGTGTATTAGAATACAAAGGGAGTTTGTATTAGGATATAAAGTGGTTTCTGTCTCATATACAAGGATACAATGCTCTGAACTCTGGATGAATAGATCATGGTATTTTAATCTTCAAACACTAACTTCAAATTGCGTATTACTAAGTCAAACAGATGTGTAAACTCTTTTTAGATATCTTGGCATGATTGAACACAATGTCCTTGGCAAGACTGAGTGCCTGAGTTTCTTACCCAATCAAGTTCTCAAAATTGGAAATATTTTATGAAGCAAAGAAATACAAATTTTTCTCAAGACCAGATAATTTTATACAGAGTGGCATTAAATATGGGGATCTAGGGTCGGACTGGGTTGATATCCCACTTCTACCACTCTTAATGGCTTTATAACCATGGCAAGTTACATGTCAGTTTCCTCATTTCCTCCTGCAAAATGGGGTTCATTAATAATTCCAGCATTCAACAATTGTTATGAGGGGTTAATGACATTAGATAAAGTGCTTAGCACAATGCCTGGCTCTGAATAAGTGCTCAGTACACGTTTGTCTCTATTGCTATTATTACAGGCCACTAGAGTTAATCTTACTGAACCAGCCATTGTTTTGAAAACCTAAACTAAGATCGACTGTTACACTAGAGACAACACGTTAGTTTTCTCAAAAGCCGATAAATTGGCTTTAAAATGTGGTTGGCTCCTCCGTCAGGTCAGTTGTAAGGGGACTTCGAGTGATAAGAACTGGTTCTGATGTCTGAGCCCCTTCAGTAATTTCAGAGCCAGGGAAAGACTCTCTTTTGGGGATTTTACTTGCATACTTTGTCACCAGTTGATGATGACATCCCTATTCTTTTTCTGTAAATCAAGTAATAACCTTTATTGTTGGGTTGGTTCTTAGAGAGCAGTTAAAGAAAGCTTTCTCCCCATATGTGCTTCTTCCTATCTTGGCTGAAGTAACGTAGATGTCTAAGTGTTTAGACAAATCTGGGTAAAATTGGTTGAGTTTGCCCAGGGTTATAAAAGGAAGACGATTCTTATTGATTTCATAGACAAATATGTGTCAACTCTCTCTCCTATTCAGGCCCTGAGTATGGAGTTAGGGAGAAGATGCAAACAGGGTACACACAGTTTCTGTCTTCACGGGGCTTATTATTATATTGAATTAAAATGTGTTTGGGCTTTGGGGATGGGAGCGTGGAGACAGAAAGAGATGAGGGGCTTTTCAGGGAGAGTTTTCCAAACAGATAAATTCAACTCACGTATTTGCTTAAATACAAGCACTGCTAAAAATGATGTTTAAGCACAAGTATAAATAGATAGTCTGAATTTCCTAGCAGATGGAATTTGCTACAACTTACTTGTTTAAGGCAAATAACCATATGATAGAGTACTTTACTAATATAGAATTTTACTATATAGCAAAAGCGAGTTAGTTCAGATAGCACTGATTTAGAATTTATGATCTTTAGATCATGGGTTGGACTGAAGTTTATCTTTGACTCTATAAAAATAAAAAGGTTGTAGGCTGGCCCCGTGGCCGAGTGGTTAAGTTCGCGCGCTCCGCTGCAGGCGGCCCAGTGTTTCGTTAGTTCGAATCCTGGGCGCGGACATGGCACTGCTCATCAGACCACGCTGAGGCAGCGTCCCACATGCCACAACTAGAAGAACCCACAACGAAGAATACACAACTATGTACCGGGGGGCTTTGGGGAGAAAAAGAAAAAAATAAAAATCTTAAAAAAATAAATAAATAAATAAAAAAAAATAAAAAGGTTGTAAAAACTAAACTAAGTTTAAGGAAAACTATAAAGGTAATATTTAATCTACTCAAGGAACAAACTTATAAAGCAAAAATGGATTCACTTAATACAAATTACCAAAGTGAATTACCAACACATAAAATTAGACTTTTCATTATGAAACATCATTATACTGACTTCTACCAATCCAAATTTTGTTCTCATGGCTAGTTATCTAAACAGTTGGAAATAATAAAATTGTATTTCTCTAAAAATATTCTATCATTCCATCTTTCCACTCTTTCAGGTGCATATCTATCTGCTTCATTACTTAAAATAAGTATGATTGAAGCTCTTTTTACTTTCTTGTCCTACAATTTGAGGCAAAATTGTGGTTCCCAAATGCCAGTCAGTGTGGACTAGTTGCATTAGAAGAATTCAGAGGAGCTTTGAAAATGTAAAGTCTGAGTAGGTGTGGTTTGGGCCCAGAAATATGCATTTTAAAATTGCTCTCCTTCTGATTCTTACGCACACTGAACTTTGGGAACAACCATCTTTGTCAGAGTGTAGCTGCATTCTGCCGTCTCTCCTTTAGGCTGGTACTTCCCTACATCTCTGGCCTTGATCACTGACGGAGCCCCCTAATTAAACTCCGTCACTCAGATATTTCACACTTTCTTCACTGCCTTTAGGGCAAAGGGTACGCTCATTGGCGTGGGACCCGGTTCCTCATGGTGGGACCCCCGCTATTCTCTCTAACCTCATTGGTTATCACCCGCCTGTATCCTTTATTCCAGGCACATCACCTGACTTTATATTCTCTAGTGTGTCAGGTTTCTCAAGCTTCCCTACCTTTGCACAAGCTGTTTGCTTTTCCTAGAACACTGTTTTTCCATATTCATGTGTCTGATCTCTGCTTGTTGTCAAGACAGATAAAAACATCTTGGGATACCCTCTAGGAAGCCTGCCCTCTTCTCTGCTGAGTGAGATTTTGTGCTTTCCACAACACTTAGTATATCAGCCCTTATAAAATTGCACTCTGATATGGGTTTTCTTTAGTATTGCCCCTTCGGAACTATGAGCCCTTGACAGCAGGGACTGTGCATGTCTGTATTTTTAGCACCTAGTATATGCCTAGTGCATAGTAGGCAATTAGTTTATATGTTTGTTGGATGAATGAAAGAATAAGTGATGTTTATCAGAAGCACTTTTCCATCACTGCAAATAGGGTTTAATGAGACTAAAATGGACATTCACTAACATGATGGGATAAGGATGGTCTTGCTGATAGTAGGCTATAGACTTTGTTCTGTTCTATGCATGCAAACATTATGCTTTTACTGCTAGTAGGCTGTAAACTTTGTTCTGTTTTATGCTTGCAAACATTATGCTTTTGCTATAGCATGCTATAAACTGTTCTGTTTTATGCATGCAAATGTTATGGTTTTGCTGATAGCATGCTATAGACTTTATTCTGTTCTATACATGCAAAAATCACTTCTTTAAAAATATTATGGAAAGTTAAGCAAAGTATATCTTAAATTGCTGGTAAAGAGGCTTGTTTTTGATTGTCTGGAGAGTTAGAAATATCTGACATGTTAAATTTGGTTCCGTTAAATGGCAGCAGGTGCAAAACTCTAAGTCATAATGAATTATGCTGTGATAGATCTTGTGGATGAATTTATCTAAGAGAAATTCTGAAAGTAAAACAAAGGTAAGGCAGTTACCTCTTCTGGAAAGAAAACGGTTGTTTGTTCTAAGCTTGTCTTGAATAATGTTAAACTTTAAGTGAACAGAATGCGTTATTAAAAAGAACATGCCACTTGAAACAGAAGTGATGCTGTGAGGCATGGGAAAAATAGATGGAGTACGTGTTTAGGTCGGCATGGAGATAGCACCATATGGGAAGTTCCATGTGGTGACATCTGAGGTGACTGCTTCACATTTTTATCTTTTTATGCTCAACATTTTAAACAATAACTTTAATGGAGACAGATACAGGTGATAAAATTTGTGTATACCTAAAGTGTAGAGGCACAGCAAACTTCGCAGAGGATTGGAATGTCAAATAAACATTTATCGACCAAGGATCAAACCAACTAAATAATGTTTAATATGTAAAAATGTGAATTTCTATACATGGGATTAAAAAAATCAGTTTCACAAGGATAGGATAATAACGACCTGGATCATCAACGGCTCAAATAAAAAAGACCCAGGGTTTTTAACTGAACCCAAACTCAGTATAAATCATTAGTGTGATATGCGAGGAAGCATGGTGATGAACCTATGTGTGTTTAATCCCAATATTGTGGCTGATTCTAAGACCTATCACCTACCACTTATTAGTCACTATGGGCAAGCTCCTTGCCCTTGGCTTTCTCACTTTTAAATTGGAATTAATAACTAATGTAGGGGAGTCTTGAGAGTGTAAAATGAGATAATTCATATGAAAATAATTATATAAATGTTAGCTTTTATTCTGTGAATGCTGAAAAACCAAATGAACATTCAACTGTTATAGTAGAGGTGCAGCCCAAGGGAAGCTCAAGTCATAGTGAGCGATTGTCAGACCAATTGATTATAAATTCCTTGAGGGCAGTGATTGTATTTGATTCATTCTCCATTGCCTAAAGCAGTACCAAGCACCTTTTTGGTTCTGAAAAATATATATTGCAAAATATATTGCAAAAATAGATTCATTTGAAATATTGGATCTTGAAGGGGTCACATTTTAAGAGAGAAAGTGCTAATTCAGATTGAATCTAGAGAGAGGAAAGCAAGATGGAGAGATGTCCAGAGACTACTATATGGAGACAAATGAAAACAGTGGAGTACATACAGCTGGGGAAATATATATTTATATCTAAATAGTAAAAACAAAAACCAAAAACCAATGTATATTGGTAACTTCCCTGTGAACACAGGTATCAGGAACACCAAGGGAGGCAGCGCGGATTAGCGGCTGAAGGAAGGTCCTGCTTTCCTCTCTCAATATCTCAGGAAGGTTATTAAGTGTGAGGGCTCAGGAATCTTACAGACCTTCATTTCTGTGCTTTTTTCCACCTGTGTTCCCCTGGGCAAGTTGTTTATTCCGAACCTCGATTTCCTCTTCATGTGTAAGTTAGGATAATCGTAATACCTACTTCCTAGGAGTACTGTGAAGACAAATGAGATGACGCATATCAAGTGCTTCCCAGAGCTGGAAAAAGTGCTAAAAATATGTATTAGTTACCCACCCTTCTCATGTTCCAAAGCTGCCATGAGGGGGTGCTGGAGAAGCTTTTAGAAGAACAAGCACCCTCTGAGCTGGCCATGGGACAAGGATTCTTAAATTTGATTTTAACTCATCACCGCTAAATGTGTTAAGTGATCTTGGGATTGTGTGTAATGTAGAAATTAAAGAATAATTTTTTTTTCAAAATTGATTCTGGAGTTGTGAAGAGGCTGTTTCCCTGGGAGTGGGTGTGGAGGCTCCCAGCATCCTTTTCAGCACCTCCTCCCTTTGGCCGTCCAATCTCATGGAAAGGAAGCACCTCACGTGGGCCCATTGGCAGCCTGGGAAATGTTGCAGATTGCATGTTTCACTCTGCCGGGAGAGTCTTCATCTTCTTTGGATAGAGGAAATTGTTTACATTTCTCTATTGGTCATGGTTTTGAGAGAGATTTGAAATGTGATATTGGTACAGGTTCCAGGGAGTTATATACTTAACTATTTTATGTCTAATAAGGCTTAATTAATTCAAATTTTAATCTAACTTTCCTTTTCTAACCTGTAGGAAGGTATCTCTAATTCTGAAATTTTAGACACCCAGAATAGGATAGCAGGAGAATATCTTGGGGCAGAAAGTACCTTCTTGGAATTCATTGAATCGTATTTTTAACAGACCACTCAAAGTAACTCTTCCCTCTTCTGCCACCAAGCTAATGATAATCAAATAAGGGACACTTGGCTTCTTGATATTAAATCCCAATACAAGTAATAAAACAATACAGTGACAAATTTATTATTAAATACAAATTTGTTACAATTTCATATTTCTTCCATAGGTTAAAAAATCCACTTGGGGGAAAAAATCCCAAATGAAATCTATATGTGAACCTAGACTGGACAAAAATAGCACATTTTTGGTTAAGACAGGAACAACCACTAATACCCAGTTGTTCATAAGAAATGAATGTGATTCAAGCTGTTTTTCCACTTTCTTCTCTGCAGATTTATCTGTTCTGCATAAGGGTCATCATCTTCATCATTAGCTCTGATTGTCCTTGGATAATTGAATGAATAGATTTTTTATCTGGTATTTGTGCAATGTTTGCCAAACTTCTCTCATCATAGGATTCATTTGGGACTCTTGTTAAAAATAGATTCCCTTCCTGAGAAGTCTTTGGTTCCAGAAGTCTGGGCTGGTGTTCTAGAACCAGTATCTTCAAGAAACCTTCTAGGTGTGTCTTACAGTCATATTCATTTGAGAAACCCAGTGTTAAAAAATCTCCTTTGGGATGAGATTCAGTTCCAACTGGGAAAGCACACGTGCTAGATGTCCTTGTCATCCCCCTAATTGGTCAGCTTGTAGGGAAAACCCTTTGGATGGTCTCTGCTGATGTAAGAGTCTGCTCTTCATGCACTCAAACCTTCACTCCTGTCTGGAGGATTCCGCTGTTTTGATCCCTCACTTAGATGTAACTGATACATAATCCTCAAGTTACTGCTCTTGAGTTCTGGGCTGAAACTTCTGTTTAAGCTTTTCGCGCAAGAATGCAAGTCAGGGTGTTGCTATAAGTAGGGGCTTAGCTGCTTAGGAGTTGTATTGACCCAAGTTTGAATGCCAATTCCTCCAGATGTGTGACCATGACCAAGTCGCTTAACTTCCCTCAGTTTCTGTTTGCTTGGCTATAAAATACTATAAATGTAGTTATTGTAGCTAACATTTACTGTACTCTAAGTTCTTTCCATGAATTATCTCCCTTAATCTTCAAAACAGCACTATGAGGTAAGTACACTTTTCTATTATTATCCACATTATACTGCTGAGAAAACTAAGATAGAAGGGTATAAGTAATTCGCCCAAGACCTCACACCTAGGAGGTGGTAAGCTAGTACTTACTCAAAAGATTGTGGGAAGGAATAATTATGAATCTTTACAGCTGTTTGTCTACGTATCTTTCTCATTTTTATGCAAATTCAGAAGGACAACTAGCATTATCAATATTTGGGCTTGGTTAATAGAATGAATTTAATGAATAGAATATATGTAATAGTATATCTAAAGAGTTTCCCAACAGTTACACTAGCATGTCCTCAGTAAAGTTAAGCAAACAAACACAGCTCTCAGAGAAAAATAAAGTTAGTAGTAATAAGAGCTCACTCTCTGAACAAATATTTGCTCATTGATTGGAATAGAAGTCATGTCTTGACAAGAATCCCTGTCACTTCTATTTTGAAAAGTCGTCTCTAATATTAGTATATTGCTTTGAGATTGACAAAAATATGGGCTGCAAGACAATTGCTGGATCCATAAGAAGAGATCCTTTATGTGCCTGGGTTGGCCTCCTGAGTTAGAATAGTTATAACCTGGGAGAGATACCAGCCTATTTCTTCTGTTCCTGTACAGCAACATGAAATTAATCTGATCAAAGTTGCTTAGGAAATCCCTCAATAAGGTAAGGCCCAAGAGTAGCTATGACTCACTCTGCAATAACAGCACAACCTGTGTAAGAAACAAGAAGATCTCACTTACTTTGAACCTCCAGAGCCCTCCGATATCTTCAGTCCTCTCAAAGCAGGTGGGCTCAAGTCCCTCATCCACACAGCACTTCAGAGAAGTCAGGCCACTGACTCCAGCTCCAATAACCGCGACTTTCTTTGCCATAGCCTCCTGCCAAGGAGTTGATCAATCAGCGCTGCTTCACTGGGGCAAAAGATAAGAGAGTCTTCATGGCGTGGTCAGTAGTGGTCTTTAAACCCTGTTGCAGGGGTAGTTTAATAAGCAGCACTAACTGAATAAAATACCTCACTAGTCAAATGCCTGTCTCCTCTTCCCTTGAGAGAAGCCAAGTTGTCTCCTGGACTTCCTTGCAGATCTTGTTTACAACACCTTTGTTTCGCATTTTAAAGCAACCCATTTAACAAAGCCAAATAACTCAATAACATAGTACTAGGGATATGAGCCAAATCTCCAGTGATATTTCTGAGAGTGCTGAGCTTTCCTTTCAGTTGCTTTCTTCAGAAATCATCCTTACCTTCCTTTTTGCCCTTTGGTGACACTGGGTCTTTGATAGGATAGTTTTCTCTGTTGCTTGTGTGCTGGGAGGCAGTCAGACTCATTTTAATAGCTGGAGGAGGCTGTGAGAAATGGGAGGAGCTCCCTACTCTTCCTTTAGCATTCTGCCAGCTGAAACTCCGAGGACTTTAAGAGTTCTGAAACTGTGCAAGAGGCTCTTATTCTGAAGTGCACGGTAACTCTGGAATGTCTTTACGGTAACAACGTTAGACACTTGCACACATATCATATAGATAGTTTAAAAATCCTTTTTATAATGGACATGACCACTGTTCATTAGCAAATTATTATATATGGATAAATAAAAAGAAGTTGAAATTACTCTTAACCCCATCATACAGCAATAACCATAACCACTGCTGACACTTTCGCATATCTTTCCAGATATTTATATATACATACATATACACACACAAACAAAAATGGAATCACACTCTAATTTGCGACTGGATTTTTCACTTTCCAGTATATCAATAACTTTATATTTATAGCAGCCTTTTTTCAGTGGTTGCATGAATTGCATTTAGTTGATGGATTAATTATCTATCTAACAAATATTCATTTCAAGGGTTAGGTACTGTATCTGGCATATCACTGTGCCCAAATGAATAAGACAGATTGTGTCCTTGATCTCATGGAATTTAGATTCTTATTATGGTCTGGTGTTCTTAGACTTGACAACTTCTGGATCCTAGCACACCGAGCTTATCTGTTCCAAGATGGCTTACCCTGCCCAGACCCATGTCTCATCTTGATCTTTCCCTTAGGTAGATGCTGGCTTGGATGAACCTAGTGGGACTTCTAAGATCTCCCTGTCTATTGCTCTCTTTTTTGGCTTGGTACAGACCTGGATAACTTACCTTTGCTTGCAATCGCAGCTATTAGCACTAACATTAATTAGAAAGAGTAAATCAAGTGGCTACAAAGCCCTGTGCACTTTGGATATAGTCTAAAAGACGAAGGGAAAGGACTCTGTTCTTCAACCAACAAGACCAGTGAATCTAAGGACCCTGAGATGTTTCACATAAATTCATTCACCAAATATTTATTGAATACCTCCTAGGTACCAGACACACCAATGAACAAAAAAGACGAAACTCCTTGCCCTCCTGGAAGCTGCTTTCTAATGGGAGGACACAGAGATAGAACTGATAAAACAAAATAAACAAGTATGTAGATGGTACTGAGTGCTATGGAGAAAAACAAAGCAGAGAAGTGGGCTCTAGAGTACAGGAGTGAAGGGCAGACTGACAATTTTAAATAAGGTTTTCAGGAAACCTCATTTTCCTGGAATTTCCCCAACTGAATTTGGTCATGATAAAAGGCTTTTTCTGTCTAATATATAGAACAACTCTGTGAAAAGAGTAAAAGACACAACAAAGGTGATGATCAATGACTAGGGAACAGGAGCTGAACGCATTTCTCAATTAAAAAGAAAAAAAGATAAATCACCTCATTGACAATTGGGTCACAGATTTTGTAACTAGCCTGTGAAAAATTCCCCAGTTGTATCTTCACTCTCCTTTCTTTAGTTAATTATAATCTCAATAGAAGTCCTGTCAGTACTCGTTGTACCTGACAAGTCTACAGAGAAAACAAAGCACGTGTTAGCAAATTTTTTAGCTGACTGAACCCTTGGACAAATGGTATGGTTCTCCCCCAGGAGGTGACTTATCTGGAGATGTTAATGTTCTTTTATGTCAAATTTAACATGTACCTGTGTCCACAGCAGCAGCCATCAGCTTAGGAGCAGGCATCTTCTTGACACCAGCACCAGCTGAGAAGCTTGCTCTGCAGATAGCGCTGGCTGGCAAATGGTACTTAGGAGGGCTGAGTACTGATAAGCCTCCTGAGGAGAATGGGAGTATCCACAAATAAACCATAAAGCACACAACAGCTTTCCGTTAATGGACCTGTAGTGTCTGTTTTTGCTGTTATAAAAATGCTGTGATGAACGCTTCTCACGTAGATCTCTTCCACACTTAGCTAATCATATTCTCAAGACAAACACCCTGAAAGGGGAATTGCTGAGGGAAAATATACGCACACTCTTAAGTCTACAGTGCTCTTTAAACTTTAATGCGTGTATGAAACACTTGGAGATCTTAAAACTGCAGATGTGGATTTAATAGATATGGGGTGGGCCTCAGAGTCTATCTTTAACCAGCTTCTGGGTGATGCCAACACTGCTGGTTCTTGGACCACATCTTGAGTCACCAGTTTCTAATATGTTTTGACACGTTGTCTTCCAGGAAGCAGATACATTCTAATAGTATTTTATGTTTACAAAATAGTGCTTTAAAATGTAAAAATACTTTCACATACATTCATTCATTTGGTTAGTTCAGGGTTAACCAAGGCAAGGATAGGCATTATCACCCCTCCTTGTTTTACGAATGTGGAAACAAGCTTGGCTTGTCTACCAGGAAGTTCAGGAATAACAGGGATGGTAATGAGCATCTTAAAACCTTGTCACATAAATTCACCAAAGAAACTTTTGATGTTTGGCCTAGAGGATATATGTTGAAGAGTACATGATAATTACCTTCAAAAAGGCTGTTACATGAGGCCGGCCCCATGGCCCAGTGGTTAAGTACATGTGCTCCGCTTGGGCGGCCTGGGGTTCATAGGTTCGGATTCTGGTTGTGGACATATGCACCACTTGTCGGGCCATGCTGTGGTGGCATCCCACACAGAAGAACTAGAATGACTTACAGCTAGGATATGCAACCATGTACTGGGGCTTTGGGGAGAGAGAGAGAAAAAAAAAGAGGAAGATTGGCAACAGATGTTAGCTCAGGGCCAACCCCCTCAGCAAAAACAAACAAACAAACAAACAAAAAAACCTGTTATATGGAAAAGGTCATATAAGCCTATTTTGAGTAGACACAAAAATCTATCTAGGACCAAATATGTGAATGTTACAGAAAAGCTGAACTTCCCTCAACAATAAGGAAGAACTTCTGGTTAACAATGCTGCACAAATATAGAATGGACTGTTGTGGAAGGTATGAATCCCCTGTCACTGTAAGTATTCAAACAGAGGCTAGATTACCACTTTTGGCGGATAATAGAGGGATTCAGGCAGAACGTGATAGTGAAGTGTTGCCAAAGATTCTGAGGTCTGAGAGCTGAGATTCTATCTTTATCAATTGCAGTTCCGAGATAGGCACAGGGAGCTGAGAAGGCTTTAGAGTGGATTGAAAGTGTGCAGGTTATTAGGGGAATGGGAGGCTGTCGGCACCATTCAGCCATCCACGTGGTTGGGGTCCTGCAGTACCCCCCTGAACCATTCCTGGAAGAGTGCAAGCTCCCTTAATTTTGGCTACTCTCGTGAGAACAATGTATATATCAGCCTTGGTATCTCTTCCTCCTTCAATTTTAACTTTCCATTATATATTTCAACAGAAAAACTTCTTCCTAAAACCATGAGAACAGGAATCACAGAGCCAGGAGGACAAGTTCTCTCACTAAGTTCCTTTAGAGCTTAGGCAAATGACAAGCTAAACTAGTCTTATTATCCCTCGACCATGACTCACTTTTTTTCTGTTTAGATGAACTCATCTGTGTCTCCTGTGTGCTGTGTGTAGTCCCATCCCTTCTGTATTTCTGGAGCAGTTCTCTTTAAAAGTGCTCCAGGGAGCTTCTGGATCAAGAGGGTGAACTGAGCAAGCACGTTTACTACTCCTCCCAAAATCTCGTTGAAGTGGTAGGAAAGTTATACAAAAGGAATAAATTGATGACGGCACTGAGAAAAGGAAATGCTCTATGGACTAGATTTTTAAAAAACAGCTGTATTGAGATATAATTCATATGCTATATAATTCACCTATTTAAAGGGTACGATTCCATGGTTTTTAGTATAGTCACAGAATTGTACAACCATCATCACAACCAATTTGAGGACGTTTCATCATTCCCAAAAGAACTCCTGTACCCATTAGTAATCGCTACCCATTTCCCTCCAGCATCCCTCAGTCTCAGGCAGCTGCTAATTTACTTTCTGTCACTCTACATTTGCCGATCTGAACATTTTATATAAATGGAATTATACAATTATAATTATACAATAATTATACAATTATTCCATTCCATTTTGTGTGACTGGCTTCTTCCACTTAGCATAATGCTTTCAAGGTTCATCCATGTTGTAGCACGTATTAGTACTTCATTCCTTTTTATTGCTAAATAATATTCCATTGTATGGATACCCCATTTTATTTATCCGTTCATCAGTTGATGGACATTTGGGTTGTTTTTACTTTTTGGCCATCATGAATAATGCTGCTATGTGACTGATGTGCAAATTTTTGTGTGGATGTATTTTTCATTTCTTTTGGGTAAATATCTAGGAGTGGAATTGCTAGGTCATATGGTAGCTCTATGGTTAGCATTCTGAGAAACTGCCAAACTGTTTCTAAAACAGCTATAACATTTTACATTCCTACCAGCAATTTATGAAGGTTCCAATTTCTCCATATCCTCTCCAATATTTGTTATTATTTGTCTTTTCGGTTATAGCCATCCTAGTATATGTGAAGTGTTCTCTTATCGTGGGTTTGATTTCCATTTTCCTGAGGGCTAATGATATTGGCCATCTTTTAATGTACTTAGCAGTTGTATATTTTCTTTGGAGAAATGTCTATTCAGATCCTTTACCAATTTTGCCTTTTTATTATTGAGTTGTGAGAGTTCTTTATATATTCTAGGTGCAAATCCCTTAGTTACATGATTTGCAAATATTTTCTCCCATTCTGTGGGTTGTCTTTTAACCTTCTTGATGGTGTCCTTTGAAGCACATAAGTTTAATTTTGATAAAAGACAATTCGTCCATTTACTCTTTTTCGTTTGTAGCTTGTACTTTTGGTGTCATATCTAAGAAGACTTTGCCTATCTGTGGACCAGATTTTGATGAAATTTTTGTCAGATGGAATTTAGATGAGATCATCTTGACAAACCAGAGTAGAAGCCATGGCTCTGAACGCATGGGAGAAGGCTGGACCAGAGATGGGAGATATGTTTACTAGTGGAGGTGTGAGAGGCTCCATCAGGTCAACCATTTATGTAGTGC